CTCGCTATGCAGTTCAGGCTGGCCTTGAGCTCACTTTGTAGCCCAGGCTGGTCTCAAACTCTCAACGATCCTCCTGCCTCAGCCTCCCCAGTGCTGGGATTACAGGCGCGCACCACCACACCTGGCTTGAACGCCTGTTAAAAATTAAATTATTGATGAAATTATTGATGATGTGCTTGTTGCACAGAGCAATTTTGAGTGAAATGAATTGCCATAACTTTTTCATGGCTATGATCATCAAATTATGCAAACAGAGCCCACAGCTCTTTGATTTTTACACTGAAATTTGTGTCTTAATACTATATAACTAAGCATTACACATTACATATACTATGAGAAAATAATATTTTAAGATTGTGCCGGAAAAAATGATTCTCATTATGTTTTCATTTATGCCCTTGTTTCAGACAGCTGCTGTGGGTCTATTGCTGAAATTTTATAACAGTATAAGCTATGCCCTTGGCATCCTTTGAAAAATATCCTGATCATATTGAAATTTCAGATATTAACCTGAGGTTTTACCGCATATTATGAAAACTGTTAGGCTGATAGAACTTCTTTTGGGAATATCTTGCAAAATTGGCTTATTCTACATTTGTTTTATGACAGCTGCTATTAGATGACTCAGAGGGATTGCATTTTGAAGCAACTTGTCATATTTATAGGAAGAACTACAGTGATGAAGTATTTTTAGGGAAAAAAATGATAAAGTAATAATAATCAATTCAACAATTACTAATAACCTCCCTCAGGTCCTCATTATGTTAGTTCTGGGAGAAATGCCAAAGAAATATTCAATATGAAGCAGACCTTCAGTGAGCTATGAAAGAAGTAGAGGATCTTTGAGAAGAATGTCCCACCCAGGGGGAACCCAAAATGAACACAGAGCCATCAAGGACTGTGATGGGACCCCTGGCAGAGCAGTCACGGTGGCATGCAGTGTCCATGCAGGAAGGATATATGACCACAGCAAAACAGAGTTATGAGCCAAACATACTGACAGTTATGTGGTGTTTTTGAATACTTGGCAGTTATATATGCTGTAGCTGGAATATGGTTTTTCTCCTCTGAAACTTACATTGGGATTTGTTTGCTATTGTCGAGGTTCTAGAAGGGGACCTTGAGGGAGGGTTTTATTAGATTGGCTTACAGGACCAGACGCTGGGTAATTCCAGCAGCCGTCTGTGGGCTGAAGGTCCAGAGGATGCAGTAGCTTCTCAGAATGAGAGGGACCAAGGAGGCAGACCCAGTCCAAGGCGGAAGGCCTGCAAGCTCCCTGGAGAGTCACTGCTGTGAGTCTGAGTCAAAAGACTGAAGAATGCTGGAGGTGGTTGTGCCCAGCTATACTCCCAGCACTGAGGAGGCGGAGGCAGGACCACCCTTAGATCTGAGGGCAGACTGGGCTACATAGTGAATTCAAAGTCAGTCTGAATACATAGGAAGATCCTGTCTCAAAAAAAAAAAAAAAGGATAAACGTAACGAAATGAAAAAAAAAAAAAAGGGCTGATGAAGCTGGAGTCTGGTGTCCATGAGCGATGGCAGCAAAGCTGTCCCTGCTCAAGCAGAGTCAAGTTTGCACGTGCAGACTGGCTTCCTCCTGCTTTCCCTTTTCATACCATCTGGGCTGCCTACGGAATAGCATCACCTGTAGTCAGGGCAGGTCTCCCCCTCACTTGGTAGGCCCACCAGCCAATGGTCTTTGGAAATGTTCCCAAAAGCACACACAGAGGTCTGCTTTACTAATCCGCTAGGCCTCCCTCACTCAGTCCAATCAAGGTAACAGTCAGGATTAACCAGCACAGTAACAGAGGTCATTTGCAGAATGCAGAAAAAGGTGTTGATTGATGTCTTTTGTGACCATACAAACTAGGGCGTGCTTAGGAAACACTGGAATCCCTCACTGCCCGGTGAGCTTTTGTACCAGCTTGGCTTCAGCTGTGGTTCTAAGGGCTATCTCTCTGTGTCCTCAAGCAGGCTCGGTGTGACCCTGCCACACAGTGGAGAGACAGCAGCGCCTGCAGAGGATATTTCCATGAGTATGAGAAAATTTGTGCATTTTCTGGAGTTCCACGCAAACTTAGGTGACTTATGCACTTTTCCAGGGAAGAGGGTTTAGAAGTTCCCCCCCAGCCCTGAACACTGAGTCAAGTGATAGGATGAAGACGGCTGTGTCTTTCATAGCTGTGTGCTCCTGGTCTGGTCTCATTTGTTCTCAGTCTTCTTTTCCCAGGTTTATTGAAGCAATAATTGAGAAATAAAAATTGTGTACATTTAAGGTGACAACAGGATGATCTGACAGCTGTATCCACTGTGAAACAAGCACCACAATCAAGCTAATTAACAGCCTAGCCGTGAGCAGATCGAACAGAACCACAGTACACCTGGGAGGCACCAAACAGGACTTCAAGAATCTGGGTTGACAGCTGCTAGTCCGTTTGGAATTGCCCTGTCAGATTACACACATTCTCTCAGAAAAAGTAGTATATCTCAGCAAACTGTCACTGACCATGAAGGAAGAGCTAATTTGTTGTGACCCACTTTTATTTTTTCCTGTCTTGAAGAGACACTGTGAGGTCAGATCTTCCGTGAACAAGGACGTGGCAGAAGGGGCTTCAGATCCCTCAAAAAAAGAACGAGAAGTCCTACTGGACCTAGCTGTTCCCTTCTAGGTGTCCTGCTGAAGGAGTAAAAGGCACATTGTCACAGTGATCCATGCACACCCATGTTCATAGCAGCACAATTCTACTAGCTACATCTTAAACCAGCCTGTATGTCCACCAACAGACGAATAGGTAAGGAAACTATAGAATTTATACACCATGGAGTACTACTCTGTCATAAAGGATAAACTTGTTATTTATAAGAAAATGGTTATATCTTGTGACTATAATGCAAAATGAATTAATCAGACACACAGCTTAAATATCCCATTCTCTCTTATATGAGAAATCAAAAATATAAATGAAAGAGCAAAATATGAAAAAGATAATGGGGAACAGGGAATAAAACCTTTTTGCGAAGGAGGACCAAGAGATAGAGAAGGGGCCAAGGGACATAAAGAGAATTATATGTGTGCTGTCCACATATGAATTCCCAATGACGAATGTAATCATTACATACTGCAAACATGTACCAATAAAAATGTTTAAAAATTCGTAAAGAAATGAAAACATCCATACTCTGCTCCAATGTTTTCCAGTGAGTGGTAACATTTTATTAAGAGCTCAGAATACAAAAACATAATACTGTAAAGTACTAAAAAGAACATTCAATGTTCACAAAAATTCATTAAAAAAAAAAAAAAACTTTTAAAAAAGGCCAGTGAAGACCATGTACATTTAAGAGGTATTCGTTGTAGACGTGGTTTGAGTTTCTCATGAACACTTTTCCGGAAACACTCAACCTGAGTTGGAAACGAGATGGGAACGGAAGAGAGTTCAATCCACAGGAGCAGTTCTCAACCTAGTAGCCACAATGCCCACCAAGGCCACGTCTGGGGCTCAGGGCGCCGGCCCGACCCCGGGGCAGGAGTGTGGGGAGACCCCGCGCAGCTCGAAGGCCTGGCTGAAGTCCAGGGTCTGCACGTGGGGGCTCCTGGCCAGGGTGAGCCCCCTCAGGCAGCCCCGGAACGGGGTCCGGCTACTCAGGCAGTTCTGCTTGACGTCCGCTGCGGGCGAGAGGGGAACAGAGCATGTCAAGTGCCTGGGGATGGACAGGGAGCCAAATCGTCTCAGGCAGGTTGTCCATCCAAAGTGAGTATTTGCACGTCCTTTAATAGGTTAATGCTGGGGACTTACACAGGTGCCTGCATTTGAATAACTTCTTGGAACCCCCAAAATGCACATTCTAGTCCAAACCTGAGGGGACAGCTCACAGGTGTCCCCTGTGATTCTCAGCTGGGGGGCCCCTGGGGTGAGCGAGCTCCTCGGCATCCTCCAGCTCAAAGCACCACGCCCAGGGCTGCCAGACCTCGCCTCGGGATTCACCTCAGCATGGACCTTACCTTAGCTCTCCTAAGTTTTTAGGACAACTCTGTCCGATCTCCACTCCTCACCCCTGAACCGAGCCTGCTCTCGGGGAGGATGGGCCACGCAGGGTCCCCACGTACCTGGGAAGCCCCCGATGTAGATGGGGTCGTTGGTGTCGGCTGAGGTGGACTGCGGGTGCGGACTCTCTGCCCCGACCGTGCGGCCGTCCACGCTGAGTGCCAGGCGGTGCTTGCTTTTGCTAGCGTGGAGCGTGTGCCACTGTCCGTCGCAGAGCCTGCTGCTGCCCGCGGGCTGGTACGTGGCCGTTATCCGGCCTGCACCGTTGTTGACGTGGAACAGGAGCTGGGCAGAGCAGAGCGCAGTGAGGAGCCGCCCTCTCACCAGGGTGAGTCACGGTGCTGAGGGGACCAGGGGGACCCAGGACTGCCCTCGCCCCGCACCCAGAAAGGACGTGTGGGGCCCCTCGTGGTTCTCTGACTGGGTCTAATTTTCGGGGCATCTGGGGAAGTAACAGGGCCACTGCGACTGCAGGGGCTGCCAAGCGGCGACACCTACACGGGAGCAACCCCGCTGCACCAACCCCTCCGACAATGGGAGCAGCTCTACCACTGAGGGCAGCAGCGGCAGCAACCTGCGTTCTGCAAGGATCAGTGTCCTGGGCTGAGGAGCGCCCTCCGCTGTGCCTCTCGGCAGGACAGGAGCCCGAGGTGGAACCGAGAACCTGGGCCACGCCCAGCACCGGCTGCCTGAGCCACGCCCCCAACCACCTCCAAAGCGCACCCAGTCAGGGGTGTAAAAAAGATTAAGATGTATTATGCACCCACACCGACTCTCCCTGGTGAGTGTGACCACCATGTACCGCAATTGTGCGATCGTGTACTAATGCCAGTGAAACACACTGCGAGAGCCTTCCCTTGACTCCATTCACGAGGGGCAAGCCTGGGTCTAGGAGCAGCTGCTGTGTTTCCACTGCTGGACCTGAATCAGGGGACCCCGGGAGCCTGCACCTACCTGGCCATGGACAATCTCCAGGCCAATGGCGTCCACCTTGGCACTGCTGATGCCCAGGAGGACACCACTCTCTGCAGAGGTACGGAACTCCAGCGTGATGTTTAAGTCTGATCGAACTCTGTAGCCTTCTCGGACTGAAAAACACAAGGACAGGGATGGGGGTGAGCCCTACGGAGTGGTGTGGCTGGGGGTGACACCTGGCCGCGGGCAGCACCTGCTGCAGCTCTGCCCCCACAGCACACCATGCCCCATGGGGTTTTCCATGTGCAGACTGCATGGGTGATTTCTTTATTCGGGAGATAGAAACTCTGAGATGCCCGACTGGATCTGAGCAACAGCAGGCAGCTCCTGTGTCCAGGGCTGGGGACAAATCGGGGGAGGTGGTGTCTTGGAACCTTGCCCAGGGCAAGCTGAGACCCTGGAGTGGACAGAAGCACAGGGCAAAGGGGACAGGTCCACGTGGCCCCCTGTCCCTCCTGTTTCTGACCACAGCCCCTTTGTGGCCGCCTGCTCTAGGGTTCATACTGCCAACTGTAATGCAGACTTTGAAGGTATGGTCTAGATCTACATGTCCCCAATGGCCTTGTGCACACAGGCCGGGCTTTTAGAGGTGCCAGGTCATGGCTTAGCACTGACTTGCTGTAGGAGAGGGGGTCTGGCCAGAAGAGACTTCCCAGGGCTTGGCCTGGAAGGGGTACTCTCCCTTCTGGCTTCCTGTGCACCATGCTCTGAGCAGCTCTCCTCTGCCAGCCCCTTGGCATGGAGCCTGGCAACCATGAGCCCAGTTAAACCTGTCGTTTAAGCTACAGCTATCCAGTATTTCATCCCAGCAATGAGAAGGTGACTAAGACGTTTGATTAACTTGGATGGTAAAGTGTCTTACATACATCTGGGGAAATACAGGTAAAGCCAGAACCTGTCCCCCTTCTGTCTGGGTCACACCAGCCCCGGCAGGAGAAGCCATCCAATCAGATCACCTGGAGAGCACAGGACTAGGAAAGGCTTTCATACCTTGTGACCGTACTGGAAATCAGGAACAAACCAGAACCCTGGACTCCATCCATCCCCCATGTGGCCCTGTCCATCTGGGTCCTGTCTTTTGGTCCACTTCCTGGATCCATGTCATCTCAGAGCCACGAGGAGCCCAAGAGTTCTTGGCGCCGGGGTAATACATACCCAGAGCTGCATAGCCACTTCCGTCGAAGAACGTGCCTTCCTCAGCCACTGCGTAGCATCTGTCCACGGCCAAGGCAGACGCCGGACTGCCCATGTCCAGTGACCTGCTGTTCACCGTCACCTCCCCAATGCAGGCGGGAATGCTGTGTGTGACCTAGAGCAAGGAGGTCGTAACCACACCGCCATACCAGTGTCCCTACACTTCATCAGGTCTGTTCCAGCAAAGCATGTCACAGCAGTACCTTCTGGTTTTTAAAATGTAATTATTACAATGCCTCACACGACGGTCTGACTTGGGGAGTTTTGCTGAATATCCATGTGGTGACACTGTTTTCTATTATTTTAGTGAAATCTCAAACGCATTGAGAATCTGCATTCTCTAAGGTGCAGACATAAATCCACCGGAGTTCCCTGAAGCTGCAGAGCTACTGGGGGAGGAGGTGAAATGCTCTTTTGCTGACCAGCAAGAGGCGCTGGCCAGACTCTGGGGGCAGCCAGAGCACTGGACACTGAACCTGCTTTGAAAGCTCCGCCTCCCACAGGTGAGTGGCAAGGTCATGATAGGCGAGGAGCGGTGTCCCCTACGAGATAGATTCCATCACCACCAAGGCCACGCGGCCTGTTCAGAGAACCCACTTACATTGCCGATGCTCCGGGGCCGGTAGTCTGGGGGAAGGCCCCCGAGGTACAGCTTTCCCTCCACATCCAGTGAGGTTCCGTCGCCCACTGTGGTCACCGCGGGGGCTTCTTGGCCGTCAACAGTCACAGAGCCTTTTCTTTTAAAGTACTCCGCCTTCACCTACAGGGAGGAAAACATCCATAATGTTTCTTTGTCCCAGGGCCCCACATCCTGTGGGCGGATGCCACACACAGGGCGGCTGGACGTAGGCAGGATTCCCTTCAGGGAGATGGAGCTGGACCAGGCGACCGCATCCTCCTCGGGGATGTACCATGTGCCAGCGGCCGTCACTAATCAGCGCAGGGTGAGAGACGCGGGTCCGGCCCTTGCCGAGGTCAAATGTGAAGACGAGGTAGCCGCCGTGGAGCTGCAGTGTGGCGTGGTCCACCTGGTTCTGATGGGCTGTGTAGAAGATGAGGCCGCTGGAGGCGAACGTCCGGATGCTGAGCTGGACCAGGAGCCTGGAGGAGAAAGAGGGCTCGGTACCACAAAGAACAGGTCGCGCTTGCAGGATGTAACACAGCCTCTGAGATCTGGGCGTGGAGGTGCATGCCTGTGATTCCAGCTCGCCAGGAGGGTGAGGCAGGAGGATTGCAAGTTCAGACCCAGACTGGGAATGTAGTGAGATGCTCTCTCAAAATAATGAATAAAAAAAAGGGTGGCTACTGTTTCCCTGTCTGTGGGATCTGTTCTAGGATGGAGTGTGAGCTTGCAAGGAAGAGGGTCCCTTCTGCGAAGGTAACACCAGGAAGACAGCAGAGCCGCAGCGGGGTCTCAGGAAGCCACCAGGTAGGCACTCTGCCCTGTGAAGGCAGCATTTCCACTGAGCTCTAAGTGTAATGACCCCAAGGAGCCAGGCCCCACACAGGCTAATGGGAAAATCCTTCATGTGTTCAGGATGGGGGTGAGGAGCTCAGAAGAAGGGTGTGGTTTAAAGTGGCCGCCAGGCAGGAGCCCGGACACGGCGGGTGTGGCGGAGGTTTGCATCTGACAGGCAGCTGTAGGGGAACTCGGCATCCACAGCCCTTCCTGAGCCCCCAGCCAATGACGCGCGCTTAGGGACTTGCAGGCAGCACCTACCTCTTCCTGACCTCCGACTGGTCAAAAGGCAGCACCATGTGGCTGTTCTTCGAGAGGCCGAACTGGTGGGCACCGGGAACAAACTGTGGAACTGTGTCCACTGCACACCGGCCCTGCGAGAGACCACACGGGGATCCTCCGCTGCTGCCCAGGACCCAAGAAGAGCACCAGGCAGACCCGTCCCGTGACAGCCAGCCCCAAGGGGGTCTGCGCTCTGGCAGCCTTGATTGAAAGGATGCGCTCGGATGCGCTTTCTCTCTGAGCACGGGTAGGGAGGCTGTGTCTTCCACCCCAGCCTGCTGCAAGTCTCTGACCTTCCTGAGGACACAGGCGTCCCAGGGTCTTTGCCAGGTTGTCCCTGTACCTACCCCAGGAGCCTGGAGACATAGCTAGAGCCTGGGAATGGTGAGAGAGCTCAGCACGGTCCCTGGGGGGTGCTGGCTGTCCCATGGGGCTCCACACCCTGAGACCTCAGGCTGTGCAGCTGCCACAAAGAAAGCCATCCTGGACTCCTGAGACCGGCCCGGTAGGGAAGGGAGTGCTTGGGGACGAGGGGCCTCCTGCGGTGTCAAAGTGGCCCACTTCTGGCCCTGACAGCGTCAGAGGCGGGAAGTGAAAGAGAACAAAGCCTCGCTTCTCTGAATATCAAACCTTTCTCTCAAGCAACAATTGTGTGCCCAAGAGCTGACGTCTAAGTGCTTATTGTGTTTCCCCAGCTAAATCTGTAATTTTTGTTTGTTTGTTTGTTTTTTCCAGTACCAGGAATTGAACTCACGACCTCGCACTTGCCAGGCAGGTGCTGTGCCTCTGAACTAAATCCCCAGCCCTCCCCAGCTAAATCTAAGGCAGGAATGAGGCCCACATTATAGACAGCCAGGGTGTCTGTGGGCGACTGGCCTGTCCCTGCAGCTTGGCAGGCAGAGCCTTGACCCCGGTCCTCCTCCTCTCTGGCCCACCTCGGCTCCTGGGTGCCCGGCCTTGGCCCCGGATACCACCACCTTGCCAGGCCTCACACTGGCTCCAGGCCCAGCTTCCCTGGGCTGGGAGCTGCGCCCCATCACCTGCTGCAGCACACGCTGTCCCTCTAACCTCCCGGCTGGAAGCCCTGCAAAAGCTGCACTCACTGGCCGCGGGACAGCCCGGTGCTGAGGCAGCAGCTTGACCTCCTCCTCCTCCTCCTCTCGAGGGGCTGGCTGGAGCCTTTCCACCAGCAGGCAGCTGTCCAGGTCCACTTGCTCCGAGGCCATTGCACCGGTGAAATCCAGAAGCCTACGTGCAAACCAGAAAGTGTCTTCAAGGTGAAGGATGCACAGTTCTTACACCACCTAGCGTGCCATTTCCCCAGTCGCACGTGCGCTCCAGGGCACAGCCTGCCTGCTTTTAATAAAAAGGAAGACAAAAAGTGAAAAAAAATATGAAATTTACATGGAAGAAATAGCTCCATCCCTTGGCATTGTTTGGAAGGAGAGGAATCGATACTTTTATGTAAAGATTTTCTTACACTACGGGAGGTTTGATCCTAGTACTTGGAACTGCAGGTGACAGATACAGTGGTGCCTCGGCTCACAAATGTAATCCCTCAATTCTGGTCACAAACCGAGCTGAACGAGAACTGAATGTGATCACTGAGCAATTTAATACCCTTGAAAAGCCACTCCTGGAGTCCTGCGACTGACCATCTTTCTCTGCAATCAAGAGTCCCGTGGGCAGCGCACCCGCCCTGCTGTCCTCACAGTGGTGACCAGGGTGCAGCAGCCCAGCGCTGTCCCTCAGTTGTCTCGGGTTGCAGAGCAGCCCTCACTGACTTCCAGCTGACAGGGTTCCCCTCGCCAGGTCCTGGACTCTACCTGTCCTGCGTCCCTTCCTCTCCTGCGTCCCTTCCTCTGCAGCTCCAGCAGGATGTTGTGGGCCTGCGGGTGCTGCTGGGGCTCCCTTGGGCCCGGCTCCGGGCAGCACAGCCTCATGGCCTTTAGGAGTGGAAGGTGCCCAGTGAGTGGATGAACGTGGGGCCTCACAGCCAGCAGGGGGGACCAGCTCCACACCCTACTCATACCCAACCTGGGGCGCCCACATTGTAACTGGGTTGAGACCAGTGGTACGGTGTGTTCTTGCCAATTCTAGAAACTCCAAAACTTTCACAGAGAAAGACAGTGTGACCCTGGAAGACCCAGGCTGCAAACAGGTCAGCAGCCCAGCCAGGTGGGGCCTCTGTTTCCTGGGCTCCACACACTTTCCTGGCCTGCAGGGTGGAGCCCCGATTTCTCTCCAAGCACTGAACAAGGCACAAGGAGGGGAGGGACAAATAGCCACAGGCATGGGGCAGTCCTCTGCTCATCGAGTTCCGCTGGGGTGATGCAGACCGCCGGTTCTTAGTTATGTGGTGACTGCTTTTGCAGAAGCATTAGTCATCTGACATTGCCAGCAGCTCTGTTATAAAAGTATTCTCCAGCCAGGTGTGGGGGCGCACACCTGTAATCCCAGCACTCGGGAGCCTGAGGCACAAACGAGGATTGCTGCAAGTTCAAGACCCGCTTGGGCTACAAAGTGAATTGAAGGCCAGCCTGAACTGCGTAGTGAGACCTTGTCTCAAAAATACAAAAAAAAACAAAAAAAAAAGTTCTCAGCGCCACAGTGCCTGCCTGACATGCGCAAGGTCGTGAGTCCATTTCCTGGTACAAAACAAACCAAACCAAAACAAAACAAGAAATAAAGAAAAAAGAAATGCTCCTTGCAAAACACTAAAGACAGCAAGAAAGCAGCCTCATGCAATCTCTATTCTCTTAAATCACTGGCAGTGAACCTATGGCCTGCAAGTCATAGTAGCTATGCCGAGCCCTCTGTCGGCGTGTGACCCAAATCACCGCAGCAGCCAAGCATCGAACGTTCAGGTTTAACTACAGTGCTGGCATTTTGCCATAAATAAGTAGGTTTTGGGTTGCAGTTTGGGCACTTGGTCTCTCAAAGGTTCGCCATTGCTGTCATAAGTGCATATCAGAAATATATTTTAACCTCAACAGTGAGTGCATCGACAAACCCACGGTGTTCAATGACTTTTAAGTACACAGTATGATGACCGGGTCTATCTGTCACTGTCATCTAATAAAGTCCACTTGGGGGACTTTCACGATGGAACAGCGAGGATCGTCTGCCCTTCCGTTCAGGAGTCACAGCAATGTGAGGGGGACAGCAGCGAGGGGAAAACACCCAGAGCCCGGGACACTCACTCCATGTTGAAGACGAGGTTTTTGATGCAGCCGTGGAACGATCTCCTCATCTTGAGCATCGATGTCCTCTCCCCCTCGGGGACGCCCCCTATGTACAGGGCGGTCGTGTTGATCGTCCTGCTTTCTGCTAAGGGGCCCAGCCTCACCTCCACAGGATTCGTCTCATCCAGCTGCACAGTGAGAATTCTACAAGGAGAACATAACATCATCTCAGGGTAACGAGACCCCAGCCCCATTTCAATGCGTAATTCCAGCCAGCTCTTTTCTAATCAGTATTTTAAATTTTTATTCGCGCATGTTTACCATACATAAAGACATTCATTCCTTCTAAGGAGCTGGTACAGAAACAACACACCCTTCCCTCCAGTGTCTGTCTCCCCTCCCTCTACCTCCCGATCCCCTTCCCGTGTGAACAAAATCTATCTTCTTACCTCTGACTATCTATCTTTTATTTTGCTCTTTATTTATATTTTGGGTTTCTCATATAACAGAAACCAAACAGTACTTAAGCCTGTGTGCCGCCTGGGATATAGCTCAGTGGCACAAGCCCCTGCCTGAGTTTGTGCGCAAGGTCCTGAGTTTGATTCCCGGTACTGAAGGGAAAAAGCCTGTGTGTCTGACTGATCTCATTTAACATAAAGAAGGATAAACGTGAGTCATTTCCAGGAAGTTCTTAATAATAAATTTCCTTGAAGGTAAAATTTATTCTTTTTTTTTTTTTTTTTTTGGTTTTTCTCCGGTACCGGGAACCGAACTCACGACCTTGCGCTTGCCAGGCAGGCGCTTTTGCCGCTGAGCTAAATCCCCAGCCCCTGAAGGTAAAATTTAACAAAACATGATGTGTGAATGAAAAGGTGCACCTTGAACGCTAAAACTTACAATGGAGCGTTCTCCAGAAATGAATGAAATGCTGTGAAATCCCACTGAAACTGCTTTTAACCTCTACCTACAATAAAAACTTCTGTGCTTTTAAAACATGGGGTCTGTGATATTGAAGGACAACATATGGGAATGTTGAAAATATACTGTTTCTTATTCACCATCAGTACTGTATATTACTGTCCAGCAGCTGGTACTCTCATTCTATGTATTTGCCAGTTATTCCAGTGTAAAGACGGTTTATATCGATCCCAGCAAAGGGCAGGGTCAAGGCTGTTCACCTACGAAAAGTTTACAACCACCCTGTGATGAACAGAGGAAACTGACCCCAAGGAAGCATTCTGGCATGTTTCTAGAAGTGTTTTAGAAATGATAAAAACTCAGATTGCTAACGATGCCACCCTCGGGTCATCCCGGTCACTGAGGGGCACACTATGCCTCGTCAAGGGCCCACTGAAAACCTCTGGCACAAGCACCTTCCCTCCCGCCTTGCCGGCCACCGTACCTCCGAGTCCTCACCACGGAGATGGAATGCTCCTGCCCGTCGCTGTAGGTGCCCGAGGGCCCGTGCACCAGGGCCTTCCGCAGGCTGGTCCCGTCCCCAAGACTGACGTGCACTTCCACATGGCCGTCAACCAGCAAGATGGCGAAGAAGGGCTGCAGAGAGCAGGGAGAGTTCCCACACTTTCGTTTTATTTTATTCCCTTTTTTTGAGACAGGGCCTCGCTATGGAATGCAGGCTGGTCTGGACTCACTCTGTAGCCCAGGCTGGCCTCAAACTCGTGGTGATCCTCCTGCCTCAGCCTCCCAATTGCTGAGATTACATGCATGTGCCACTACTTCCGGCTGAAATGACTTTTAAAACCTTCATCTTCCATAGATAATGAAGGAACATGAACACAAAGTGAGCCGTTACTTAAGAATTTCACCACTACAGCTGTTTCAAATATATATTATTTTCTGATGTCTTTCCTATCATTTATATTGCACATGCAGTATTTATTCTCACTGACCATCTCACAGATTCCCATGTTTACCAAGCCCCACATTTACTTTTTACTGCTACATGATGGACCAACAAGTGAATGTAATTTGTCTTTTTACTAATGACATTTTAAATGGTTTCTAACTTTTTATTATCACACAGTAGGACATTTAATTAAGTCTTACACTGGCCTGTGGAATTTTTCCCACATTTCTAAAAGTGACATTAAGAACCTATGGATTTGAAAATGTCTGAAGGTCTTTAAAGTTTGTGCTGCACTGCTGAAAAGCGTAACAGTATATAACGCCACAAGAAATGGATTGCTAGCACTGATTAATACCACTCCTGTCTGCTGCCTTAGTAAGACACTGTGTACAAGTGACCCTGTCTAGACTGGTGCCTCATGCCTGGAATCTCAGGTACTCAGGAGGCTGAGGCAGGGGTTTGTTAAGTTTGAGGGCAGCATGAGAAACTTATTGGGAGCCTGTTTGAAACTAAAAATAAAAGGGTCTGAGGATGCAGTTCAGGGGTACTTTCCCTGGGTTGCATCCCCTGTATCTCTCTCTCTCTCTTTCACACACACACACACACACACACACACACACACACACACAACTGGCAGAGGGAAAGAGTTTGGCAGTTTAACAGTTAACGGTTAAACATAGTTACCGCATGAGCAGCAACTCTACTCCTAGGAATTGGTCCAGAAGAGCTGAAAACAGAGACTCAAACAAATATTCGCAGCAGTGCTGCTCACAACAGCTTAAACAGCAGGGATAACCTGGGTATCTAAGGGCAGCTGATGAAGTGTGCGGTATGGGCAAGGGGCACGATTCAGGCACTGACAAGCAATAGCGCTAAGACAGGTGGCCCTGTGGTCAGACACCGAACACATGTTACGTCCGACACAATGAGGTCACAGCCTGTGTGAGCTGATCTATGTGAAATGTCTGGGATAGGTTAAATCCAGCCACAGACACCGAGGGCAACCTGCTGACTGTCCGGGTGGGAAGGGGAGGTGGCCAGTGAGCCCCTACTTCCTGGGGCACAGGCGGTGCAAATATTTGGAACTAGATGGCAAGGGCGCCTTCATAACATTGTGAGTGCACTAAACGCTACTGAAATGTTTGTTTTAAAATGGTTTAGAGCCAGGTGTGGTGACTCAGGACTAGAATCCCAGCACTAGGGAGGCTAAGGTCGGAGAATAGCTGTGAATTTAAGGCCAGCTTGTCTCAAAGCAAGCGCGAGCGCGCACACACACACACACACACACACACACACACACACACACGTCAATTAGGGTCTGTGGTGCTTCAGGACCAGCTCTGCCCCTACAGCTGTGTGACCCTGGCTTCTCTGAATCCATCTCTTGCTCAGCAGTAGAACAGAAGAGGCTGCATCTGCTTTGCAGTGTGGTAACAGCTATGCAGCAGTGTCTCTGTGTCCTGCTGCATAAACTGCAGGTGCACCAGCCACTCTCAGGAGGACAGTTAGTACCCTCTTATCCCGACCAACCAGGAGGGAGACGTCGGCTGCCAACGCGCTCACTGTGGTCACACTCCTGTCTGCCTCTTTCAAATTTCAAATTTAAACAGAGAGAGGCAGCCGTGACCTGAGCAGAACGGAAGGACCTGCTGTTTGGGCTTTAGAGTGAAGAGTAACGAACACGGTGCACAGTGCACAACATACAGCTCATCTGCAGCCGCTTTCGTGGTGGCAGAGACCTTTGTTGCAGTTGCAGACACAGGAGGCTGATGATGCCGCACAAGAAACCACTGACTCCTAGGGGCAGCCGCGCAGCAGCAATCACTCCCACTGCTTAAAATGCACTCACCGTGGGCTTGGGGCGCCGGCCCTGCCTCTCCACATCCTGGCCAATGGCAGCCAGAATGACACCACTGCTGTTGTTGGTGGCAAATGTGGCCAGCAGTTCCGATTCCGGCGACAGAGGCTTGGGTGGCAGTTCCAGGTAGCCGCCTCTCAGGAAGCTGACACTGCGGATGGGCTGGGACAGGGCAGGGAGGTGAGCCTGCTGTAGGTGGGGGGGCGCCCGCTCTGTCCGCATCTTCCCCCACCCACCCCGCTGCTGGCTGCCTTCAGCTGCCCCGATATTAAGGTAAGCAGTCCCACCTCCAGGACGCAGCCCTTGCCCACGCCGTAGGAGTTCCGGAGCAAATCGAAGGTGGACCTAGATATTTCCAGGTTCTTGATGCAGCCCACATAGCTTTTGCTGGTGATGCCTTTCCTGCAGAGAAGGACAGGAGAACAACTGCAATGAAGTGTGGAGTCACAGTTCCGCTTTCGGAAAACCTGTGTCCACGTGTCGCTCTGCGGAAGTGCTAGCGACACCCTGTGAGAGGTTCATGATGGGGAGCCCTGCAGGTGGAACGAATATCTCCTCAGGACCGGGCTGCTTGATGACTGCCCCCATGAAAGAGGTCTCTTAGTCAGGAGCGCTGGCACACGCCCAGCTCCTCAGGGGGCCGAGGCAGGAGGATCACGAGCTCAAGGCTAGTCTGGATGACACAGCGAGACACTGTCTCAAAATACAAGAAGTGTGAATAGAGCTCAGCACACCAAGCTCAACCCTCAGTACTGCCGAAAAGTTAAATGGGAAAATAAGTGTACTTAAGGTGAATTTTGAAATATAGGCTTAAAGCACAGGCCAGTTATAAGAAAGGCAGTGCACTGTCAGGAGGCCATGGAAGCAGAGACAACGATGCAGTCTCCATGTGGCGCGGAACACTCGCTCCCACAGGGGCAGTGTGAGTGTGCTGCTCCCCGGGACGGAGGGCGAGAGGGCCTGCTGGCTGTTGTCTGGATTGCGCATTCATAAACATGGCCCAAAGGGCAAAGCACACCTGGAGGGGAGGACTCTGTACCTCAGTCTCGATCAGTACCCTGTCCTTCTTACCAGAAGCTGGTGTTCCTACAGGGGAGGCTGCAGGTGGCCAAGGTCTCACATGCTATACTCAGGGCCTCCCACGTGTCCCTGAGCTGCACCCCATGTGTCAGCTGTCACAGGAGCAGCAGGCAGACACATGTTCTGCAGCAGCCGACCCTCGCTGTGTTCCCTGTGTTGAGCTAGGCACTGGGACCATCCAGCAGCCACAGGATTTGGGACCATTTCAGTCCTTTTCAGCTTCTTCCAATATGAACAAAGAAGTCTGCCCCTCTGGTCTAGTGTCTGCACTGTGTGTAGATAAACTACGACACAGTTGTGACCCTAGGAAAGCTCCTGGTCCCTCACAGCCGGGAAGGCCACCCAGAGTGGGCACAAGGAGACAGCTTCCAGCCCTGGCTCTGTCTGGGCAGCGAGGTAAGATGACTCAGCGGTGATCTACATGCATTCATTTCAAGGGCCAGGCAGGGGCTGTGGGTGCAATCTGTGTTCCTTGGAGAATGTAGGGATTGGGGGCCCAGAGGGAAGGGGAGTGGAGAAGTGGATGCAGGCGACTCACCTGCTGCAGCCAGGATGGCCACACTCCAGAGCCACACATTAGGGTTCTGTAAAAAAACCTGAGCCTACAAACAGGTGATGCGATTTGGATCTGAAATGCCCTCAAAAGGTCCCCAGCCTGAAGCACTCCTGGGAGATGGTGGAAACTTTGGAGGTGGGGCCTAGTAGAGGAAGTGAGGTCACTGGAGGTGTGGTCTTGCAGGGGGTACGGGGACCCAGGCCATTTCCTATTTCTCATTTTACTTCCTGGCTACCATGAAGTGAGCAGCTTGCGCCACCTGTGCTCTGCATGAGGGCACTGCTTCACCACAGGTCCAAACACAGCAGCCCAAAAGACCACAGACTGACACCTCCCAAACTCTGAGCCAACAGAAGCCTTTCCTCCTCTGCAGTCAGTTATGTCAGGGTTTTACTTAGGTGACAGAGAGCTGACAGAGATTTGGCTATACACATCCACCAAGCTGGTCACATTTGGTGACCTCTTTGCCTGGAGCTATCTTGTCTGCCCTGCTGGTCTTTCACACATGGTATTTTTTTTTAATAGTGTACCAACATCTTAGAGCTTCATTTGTCCAATCCAAAATTACAAAAGCAGGGCCAGGGACATAGCTCAGTGGTACAAGCACCTGCCTGGCAAGTGCAAGGTCCCAAGTTTGAGTCCCGGTACCAAAAAAAAAAAAAAATTACAAAAGCAAAGACAATGAAACCCAAAAAGTTTATGTAAATCATTAACATCAGAAAGTGAAGCATGGGTCAGTATTGTAAAAGGATCCCATGGTCTCCAGCTCTGTCAGCTGTCAACCAGCTTCCTGGGGCTGGACTTTGGGTTATCACATGCACTGCACACTAACTACACAAAGGAGAATCCAGAGAAGTCTGCAGAAAGTGCAACGTCTACAGAGAGGGTGAAGTACGAAAGAAAGTCGTGGGTGGGCCTCTACGTACAATAAAAATGTTTAGATGTTCTAAAGGCAATAAATACAAAATCTGCTGAAGTTTTGCTTTATTTCCCAATTAATGTGGCATATAATACTCTGAATAAACACTGACGTTTTGGGTTCAATTGTGTTCCCCCAAAATGTTGCAGTCTTAATTCTTAGTACCCAGGGGCTGGGGATTTAGCTCAGTGGCAAAGCGCCTGCCTGGCAAGCGCAAGGTCATGAGTTCCGTTCCGGGTACCGGAGAAAAACAAAAACAAAAACAAACAAACAAAAAATTCTTAGTCCCCATGAGTATGACCTTATTTTGAATAGGGTCTCTGCAGAAGTCAAGATGAGGTCATTGGGGGGTGGGTCCTAACTGCAAGTGACTAGTGTCCTTATCCACAGAGGAACTGGACAGAGAGACAGGAACAGAAGGAGAACCAGGGAAGCCAAGGAGAGACACCACCTATGAGCACCAGCGTACCTGAGAGTGTGGGAGGCAACCTGTTCCCACCTCGGACTGCATACTTCATGCTGTTTGTGGTGTTTTGTTATAGCGGCTCTAGGAAACTAATACTCATGAGTGACCCGCCCTACCTGGGAATTCTCCACCGAGGCAGTCCACCCACATATATTGGATCCTTATCCAACCGGTTGAGGTCGGAGGAGGCCCCTGGCGTTTCGCCTTGCTTGGTCTCTTTGTCACTGGTGTTGTAGACATCAATAACAGCCAGGAGCCCTGCAAAGAGCCAGAGAGGAAGAGAGAAAGTAACAGTTGCTTTCTACACTAGCGGAAACACAAGCTTCTGCCAATAAAGTTTGTTTTACTCGGCCACATTATTTAGTTCCTGACTATCTTATAAAACTCAATAAATTCAGAATGCACATTGCTAAGAGAGGGCAGCAGATGTGTGGAAGAAAACAAAATATTTGCTTTCTTAACTCCAATCTGATGGTAATATGAACTCACACAGAGCTGTAGTACTCCTCCAGCAAAATGCGTTCCAAAGCCAACAGTGGTTATGATTGCTATGTCACCTGAGTGTTGCTGTGGCCCGCTGGTTAGGGCGATGAACTAGAATGTCACTCGAGCACACCAGGAAGCTAATGTAGGATGAAACTGCTGATTTGGGAAAGACATCTATCCTTACAAGGGCAACCGGCACTGGGAGCCCACCTGTGCCCCTACCTTGCTTCCGGTTTCGCTGGAAGGCGATTTTGTACCAGCTTCCGTTGTTATACCGCCTGTCCGTAGTAAGAGTGAGAGGTCCAGAACCCAGGTCGACCATCACTCTAACTCTGCCGTGGACCAGCTCGATGGACAAGAAGTCTTTCTGTAAAGAAGAGATCAGTTTCCCATCACTGCGTCTTTGCCCCAAGGCTCCCTCACCCTTTCAGTCAGGGATGGCAGAAACCTGAAGTCAAACTAGGGAAACAGCCCTGGGCTGCATAACTAGTGATCTATGCTATGATGCTAAAAATGTCCACTGTGGCTTTGAAGAACACTCCCCACACATGGATGAAACTCTGCTCCTTGACACCAAACCTGTGCTTCAGGCAGACAACTAAAATCTCTTCTGTCTCGTTCACTTAGCCCAACACATGGATAAATCCTAAAAATGAAGCTTGCAGACTGAGAGACAGGGTCAGCCAGCCAGTGCATGGGAAGTCATGGGAATGCGGGGCTTCTGGGTGTGGGGTCTGACATGGCCACCATGGTCACAGTGAGCCCAGGTGAAGGAAGACGTGTTGTCCAACTAAAATTTAACACTGACTGCTTAACTGCTACCCGTGACTGGGAGGCCTGGTTCTACTGCTGCTCTTCCACATTTCCCAAAGGTTCTTCATAAATTCATTAGGAGAGTAAACATTTTCACATGGAGAAGCTGGACGGCATACATATGTACACTATATTGCACAGGCTCATCAAACGGCATAGCATAAATATGCACACGTAATATTAGCAAATTCTCCCTCCTCAAACATAAATAACCTGGCTGCCGCACACAGTCCTCACAGAGGGCCCAGTGCCCCACCGTCTCTTACAGTGCCATTTGAAGCCAGGTAGAGGAGCAGTCCGTTAGGGGAGAAGGTGTTAAAGAGCATGATGATCTGAGTCACCGTGGCCCGCATGGTCTTCTCCACGACAGAATACCCACTCCCATCGAAGTGGAAGGACGAGTCTTCATTCTGGGGGCTGCAAAGCAGAAGAAATGAAATCCCATCCCCTCTTGGGAGGCTAAGAAGCACAAGTGGTACGTTTACTGGGTTCTTCTTCACCAAAATTACGGGTGAGCCATTGTTTCCATCATTTGACAGCAAGTGTAAACCACAGCACACGTCCACTCACCACAGTCTGAAAATCCAAAACCCAACACACTCCAAAATTTAAAATGATTTGAGCACCGACATGCTGCCTCAAGTGGAAAATTCCATACCATGACACTGTTTTATGCACAAAATTATTAAAAATAGTGTATAAAATTACCTTGGGCTGTGTGGATGACAGCTACCTGAAACATAACTGAATCCCATGGTTAGACCTAGGTACTCTCTGCAATATAGCTCATTATATATATGCAAACATCCCACCCTGCCCAACAAAATCCAAATCTGAAATAATTCTGGCCCCAGGCATTTCAAATAAGGGATATCAACCTACATTTGAAAATATACTTGTCACGAGATTATGCAAGACAAATGCCCAGCTGCTCCATTAAGAAAAGAAAGTTAATGTGGGCAGAGTTCACTGTGATAAAAAGAAGTTCTTCACAGGAAGCTAGCTGCTGAGGATGCTTCCCCCACAGCCTCGATGCCATGTCAACTGGCTCTGCTCTCTTTCAATGTAACTGCGCTTTCTTGCTTGCAGTGCCCTCAGAACAACATGCTGGCATTCATGACTCACTGCAGGCCTTAACTGTGCTGCAGGAAAAGGAGTTAGGATGAGAAGGTGTGCCCACGAACGCGGAGAACCACTGTTCCCAACAGGTAAGTCAGGGCCATGTCCCATATTAGAAACACTCCATTGCTCTTAAGATGCTTTGCCTCATAGAGTCTGAATGCACAGCTTGCTCTACATGACGTCCAGAGCAGCAGCATGAATTCCCAAGATCACAGCATTTCTGATACTCGCCTGTGACAAAAACTGGTTGCACCAATTTACTGTTGAGAAAGTAACCCCGAGACATTTATCTAGAAAGCAACATCCTATCACTACCAGAAAACCAGCAAAGAACGGGGCTGTGTATCAGATTCAACCACATGAACCTATTTTCAAGAACACCATGTCGTGTGTTCATCACGATTGTTCTGAGAGGCGGGTAAGACAAAGGCAATCATTTCCTTTTCTGGAGGAAGAAAGCAAACCTCAGTGAGGTGAAGAGACATGCATTACCCAGAGTCCCAGAGAGAAATCTGGTGGAAACCAGTTAAGAGCTTGAGCAGCTCGTGCTCTAAGCCCAACACTCTTCCTACTCCTCAGGCTGCAGTTAAGCAAGATGCTGTGCATAAACTTTTAAGCAAGTTAAGCGGGGAGAGCAAATAAAAGCTTAAACGCCAAAATCCCAAGCTTTGAGCCATGTGACAAAGCAGGCTAAACAATGAAATCCCACCCTGACTTTCTCTACATAACACAAGCTGCCTCTAACTCATCCCGTCACCACTCACTGTTAGTAAGGGACACCGATCTGACAGGAGTCCTACCAGATGTACGCTTCTCTCCTGCAAAGGTGCCGGTGTGCTGGAACCCAGTCTTAGATACTTTAGATGCAGTGATTTTGTTACAATGAGCGGTGTTGAACTTGGTAAGACCATTATTAAATACATTCTTTTATGTCAATACATGCGAAAGGATACTAGCTGTTCCGCATTTCCAAATGTATTTTATCACCAGGATCATAGAATTTAGATAGGAATAATAAAGAAAGCACTTATCTATAAAAATCAACTGCACACATACACATAAAATTCAAGCAATTTTAGAATAAAAATCTTTTCTGTTTTATTTTGAGATACAGTCTCTCTTTGTAGCCTTGAACTCACTATGTACCCTAGGCTGGCCTTAACCTCTTGGTGATCTTCCTGCCTTAGCTTTCACAGTGCTGGGATTCAAGGTGTGCAAACACCATACCCAGCAAGAATAAAAATCTACAGTGCTCAAAAAATCCCAAGGGTCAGCTGTGGCTTTCGGAAATAGAAAGTTGTTTGAGAAGATAGCCGAAGTTTCTGGATAGCGTGGTCTCTGATCAGAACATATACGATAAGGCAGAAAGAGGTTAACACTAAAAATAACTCCCCTGGTACCATTAGCATGACTCCCCTTGCAGTAAGGTGACTAATACGGTAAGCTCTGTCACTCCTGGATGCACATGTAAATTCCTCCCGCAGACCTCAGGGGCCAGCAGAAGGACACATTCTGCGTGACATCATGGGACGTCTTACCTTCCAAAGCAGCCTCGGCACCTGCCCTCCCGCTCGATGTAGTTCCACAGGCCGACGGATCGGCCGTTCACAAAGGCCTCCCCCATGCAGCCTTTGAAGTGGGTGACCTTCACAGCAGGAGATTTCTAAGGCAGACAAACAAATAGAAGCCAAGGAAGACATTCTCTCAGTACCTCAAACATCTCCCTGGGACCTCATCTCCACGGGTCCCAGTTTTGAATGGCTCCTGAAGGGAGTGACGCCTAGGCAGGATGTTAGAGACCGTCCCAGTTGCCAGGGTCACTGGAGAGAGAGACCCACACGGGTAGAGCTGAGACCCTCACCCACGAGAACCAAGTCCTTGTCACTCCACTTGATTGGTGACAGGATCACTGACACTGTAGAGTAACCCCAACACACTCTTGGCGCTCTTCCAAGTGTTTGCCTAACGCTACAGTTATAACAGAGACACATGATGTCACAGAAATTAATACAGAGCATTGAATTCTCCATTCGTCACTGTAAAAGAAAGCCAGACAGTAAAAGGAACATTGGCTTTTGCCCATTTATACCGGTGACTAAGCCTGACGCCCCCCCATACCAGCCCAGTGCCACATGCGAGCTGCCACAAAAGAAAGCAAGAGCTGTGGAGGACACGTGCCCATAACACATCAGCCCTCAGCGTCTCAAACCCAGCGAAAGCAGCCCGCCCCGGGGTTCACACAGACTTCAGAATGTCACCTTGATCTGTCCTCCGAGTCCTCCAACGAACACACGCGTGGAGTTATTTATGTCCAGCACCTTCGCTGTCCCCGGGGATTTGCTTGTTTTTGTCTGTGGCTCTTGAGTTGAGCTCGTTTCCTTTACACTCAACGAACCAGTGTTCCCAAACCTGAGAGCCAAGAGGCATCACAGAGGCACCTTTCAGAAGCTCACACACACACACACACAAAGGCCCAGCTGCTTCTCCCTGGGGATCTCTGCTTCCCAGGACGCCGCCCTGCCTCCAGGTGACTCCCCCACACCCTCACACCCTGCAGAGCAGTTCTGGGGAACACACCTGCTCTGCGCTACCTCCCTGCACACAACAGTTAGGGTGCCTCACAACAATGTCTGAAGACAGTCCGTTGCCTTCAACGTGATATCACTTTTTATAGATGCAGGAAAAAATTCCTAGTAACACCTCCTCCAAACCCAGCATTGCAGAAAACAAAAAAGCCAGCCAGCCAGACCTACAGTTACTTACAGCTGCTTTAAAGTGGTTACTTCTGGAGGGCAGCTTTAAAAGGAACTCTGCTTTGTCTGGATTCTAGTAAAGTTCAGCCCCACAGGCCCCACCTCCTCTCCTGCTCTGCATGCCTCTGCTGGCCACATAACATTTTTGTTTGTTTTGGAAGCAAGAGCTCACTAAGTAGTCCAGGTTGGCCTTGAACTCATGGCGGTCTCTTGCTTCAGCCTGTCAAATTCTGAGGTCATGGGTATGCACTACCACACCTGGCAAGAAGCCACTGCTACACTTTGTTTGAGAACAGTCTCACTCCATATCTCAGGCTGGCCTTGAACTCATAGAGATCCTCCTGACTCAGCCTCCAGAGTGCTGAGATTGCAGGTATGTGGCCCACAAAATTCCTACCAGGCTTCAGTGAACTTCCCTTCACTAGGGAAGAATAAACATGTTACTAAGTTGGCTACCTCAGATTTAGACTGTCTAAAAATAACATTAACATTATAAAGAGAATCTAAACTTTAATATTTTCCTTCTTTTGATCACTGGTTTTGGTAAAGAAGTGTATTTCTTCTGCAGAAGAAGAAAACCAAATCCTTACATGTTTAGCTACTCTAGTTCTTTGATTATGACCTGACTGGAGGAATTCCGAACCTATTTATTACCGGAGGTCACAACACTTAGTCTAAAAGAGAGACACTGCAGGAGCTTTGCACTACCTGGTGGCGTGGATGCTGTACCATCTGTCGTCATCGACACGCAGGTCTGGGAGCTCCAGTCGCGCGGACCCGGAGCCCAAGTCCCAGAGGAAGGCCACCTTCCCCCGCCGCGTCTCTACTGCCAGGAAGTCAGCCTGGGGACAGGTGAGTGAGCGTGAGTTGACACTGCTGTCTCCCTGACCCTCTGGGCCCTCCCTCCTTCCGTCCCTCGGTTCATACAGAGGACAACTCAGGCCTTGAGCACTGAGCTACATCCTCGCCTTTTATTTTTCCTTGTGTTGTGAGATAGGGTCTTGCTAAACTGCTAAGTTACCCAGGATGGGCTCAAACTTTCCCCTCCTCCTCCCTCAGCCTGCCAGAGTGTGGGTTCACAGGTGTGCACCAACATGCTTGGCTCAAGACACTTTAAAGGTGGAGTCTACATAGCATTTTCTCTGTCCTTAAAAAAAGTAAGAGCCCAAAGGTTTTGCTCTCCCCTTTCTGATGGGGATGGGGATCACACCAAAGGCCTCATGAGTTTATCCTCAGCCCTAAAAGACTCCTCTTGGTCTGTAAATTCCCCTCCCTAGGGTGGAGAACAAGTCAGAGCACTGGGGACTCTTGAACATTAGTGTCTGCCCTGGCCTGGGCCATCCAATGTCTGCCATCACGTTCCCGAGAAAACTCAGCAGGAGCCAGGGCAGTCAGGGGACCCCTCTGAGGGAGACAGGGCTGCCAGCCTCTGGTCCCGTGTCCCCTAGGGTGCTGGCCTCTCCCCCTGCTGCAGCCGAGCATAGTGGTCCTCTCCGGGGAACCCCGGGATGCTGTGGGCAGGAGGGGCCTGGAGGCACTGGCAACTCGATGCCCCTGACCCTGGGGTCCCAGAGGGTGACCCACGGTGGAGCTCTAGGCCCCTGACTTGGATTAGATGGCAGAGGATGCCACGGATCTGAAGCGCCATGCTCCGCCTCTCGGGCCTCCGTGTCCGCAAGGTTATTTTACAGCTAAAGCTACCATCTGAGCAAAGCTTGCTCCCTGCAGAAGCACAAGGGATTTCACAACGGCTGCATTTTCTCTTTTTCACCAGAAAAGTGTCTGCGGAAACACACGCTCTCTGTGGGCTCACTGACCCCGGTGCTGCTGCCCAGGTAGAAAAGGAGGTTGTCCGGCTCCCGGGTCTTCATGTTCAGAGCCAGGGTGTTGTAGTTGGTGGAGGAGAGCTGGGGCTGGTAGGCCCGGACGCAGTCTCGGTCTGCCGCCACAGCCACTTTAATCTGTGGAAGGAAGGGCAAAGTGTTCCCATCCTCTAGTGACACACAGGGTGGCTCCCCGACTGGTTCAAGGGGGAGCTACTCCCATTTCCACTGCAGGACCAGTTTCCTCTCTTGAAATACAGAATGCTTTGGGTTTCATAAAGCGAGAAATCAGACCATGGTGGAGATAATTGCCTTTAGTGACACGTTTAGATAGGGGAAAGTTGGTTCAGCTGGTCTGTGAGAGGGTATTTTATATAGGAAACGGTCTGACTACATGAGACTGATTTATGTCCTCAAAGACAAGGGACTTATCGCCCTGGACTCTTCCTACCTGACAAGAGAGGGCATCTGATGACTGTCAAAGCTCTTCCCTGAATGCAGCCAGTGCCCTGAGCGATGGGATGCTGTCTATCAAACATTTTCTTAACCTGAAACTTCTCCAGGGGTCAATGTTCTCTGCATCTGGTGACAGGAATCTGGGTGGCACTGGTGTGGATACAAACTGTTTCCTCACTCCCGAAGGATGAGGCCCACACTGCCAAGCTTTCTGAAGAGTACTTGCTTATTAAAATTAAACTGGGGGGAGAGAAGAAAGGTCGCCATATGCAACCATCGAAACCTAGAATGACAGCAACAGAGACCAGTGCTGTCCACATCCCTGGGTCAGCAGCCATGAAGCTAGGGTGAAATTCGGCACATGTGGGACCAAGGCATGACTCTCTTGGACACGGCTAGCTAGAGGTGGCTTCCTGAGCTGTGCTCCACAGAGGGCAGTGTCCAGCTGCACAGTGGGGCGTCATTTAGCCAGGGGACACTCACCGAGGCAGCCTGTTTCCGGGCCTGGCTGATGAGAAGCTTGATTTCTGATAAGTTTCTGCTCAGGTTCTCTTCTAATGTCCTCAGAGGCTTCAGCTGATCAAATAAAAGGTTGGCTTGGGTCTCCGCATCTCTAACTTTCTTTCCAGCCAACAGAGCTAACAAATACAAGGGGGGAGGGGCACAAGGGAGTTGGGAGGAGGAAAAGAAGGGAAGTAAATTGTTCATTAGTGATGCACTAGATGAGAGAGATGAGCCCTAGAATCTAATCCTTGCAGTTTGGAAATGGTATGAAAAATGCACCAGCGTTCTCCAAATCTTTCTCTGCCTCCTTCAGTACTAATCTGAGTGGCAGCGCGTTTCCATTTATGTTTTAGGAATGCAACCGCGAACCAGCCCCATGGGGCACTGTGTCACCCTGCTCTACAGCCCTTGAGACCGCTACGTACTGGTCACCGTGGACTCATGCAGCAGCCCCTGCGTCTCCTGCAGAGTGGCGTTTACTCCGGCCAGGCCAGCTGATGTCTCAAACAGCTTCTGGGTCAGTTCCACGGCCTTCTGCACCACTCTCGCCGCACTCTGGCCGGTAGAATCCGCCAGTTCTTTGGTCCTGGTGGCTTGGTCTCTCACACCTACAACAAATGTGTGCACAAGCATGCACTCGGGTGGAAAACTGCAAGCAACGCGCTTTTACACAGAAACATTCAAGGGTGATTTTCCTGGTTGCTGAACACAAACTAGCGCTTCTTGTTCATGGCAAATATTCAGGCTGCATATGCTATGCTCCACTGCCCCCAATTAGGGACAAAGGAAATATTATGGATAACAATTCTTTACAAAGTGATTTCAAAGCACAATGTCATCCCAAAGCAAAGACTAGTGGCCATGTGCTCAGTCAACTATATAATAATAAACAGAGCTTCTTTATTTGGGCCCTTTTCTACCACACTGTCTCATCTTGTGTGCTTTTTCTTGTTTTGTTTTCAGGTCTTTGGAGGGGGCGCTTACTGGGGATTGAATCCAGGATCTCAGCATGGATCCACGTCCTCAGGCTGCCCTTATTTATTATTTATTTGGAGATGGGGTCTTGTTGTGTTGTGACGTTGCCCAGGCTGGGCCTGAACTTGAGATCCTCCCCTGTCACCTCCCAGAGCACTGGGACTGCAGGCGTGCAGCGCCACGCCCCACTTCCTTGTCAAGAAACCCCCAGCCACAACATCCCATGTCTGGGCAAGAAGATGCTGCGACTGAAGTCTTGGTGGACAGGGAAGCCCCCCACATTAGAGAGAGCACTACTTGCTCCCAGCATGGCCTGACTGCTAGAAATAACAACAGAATAGAGACTAAATGGTCACAAAAGGTAAACTGGAACTCAGTTATGCAAGAAAAATCTGGGTGAGGCTTTTTTTCCCAGTACTAAGAAATCCAAGGCCTTCAGCCTGAGCTATATCCGCCCCCAGCATCCTTACCCTTTTTATTTTGAGATAGGGTCTCACAGAGTTGCACTCTCCCACTTTAGCTTCCAGAGTTTCTTGGGTCACAGATGTGTGGTACCAGATCTGACAAGGACTTTTTCCCTGCTTTTACTATTTGTTCTTTAAATTGGTAGACGTTTGTATAATGCTTATACTCCGGGAGGAGAGACTGTATATAACACAGCCTGGCTCCTTCTTCAGCCCCTCTTTTCCTCTTCTCTCCTCCCTCCATCTCTCGGTCCCCCTTCCTTTTGTAAGAGATCTATCTCCCTATTTCCAATTATCCATCTTTTATTTCGCTCTTTATTTATACTTTGGATTTCTCATGTAAGAAAAAACATGTGATATATAATCTGTGAGTCTGATTTATCTCACTTAACATTGTGTCCTCAAGGTGCATCCATCTTCCTACAAATGCCTCAAGTCTATCCTTCTTTAAGGCACAGTAGTGCTCCAGTGTGCATAAATGTCACATTTTGGATCCTTTCCTCTAAACTGATGGACATATAGGTTGTTTCCAAGATTTAGATATGATGAATTGTGCTGCTATAAACATGGGTGTGCGTGGATCACTGTAATATCTTCAACCCTTAGGAAGATATCTAGAAGGGAAAGAGCTTGGATCAAACAGAACTTCTAGTTTTAGTTTTTTGAGGAATCTCCAAACTGATTTCTGTGATGGTTGAACTAGTTTATATCCCTACCACCAAAATGTTTTTTTGCAAAGGTAGTAATGTTTTTTTTTCCCCCGGTACCGGGAATCGAACTCATAACCTCACGCTTGCCAGGCAGGCACTGTGCTGCTCAACTAAACCCCCAGCCCCAAAGGTAGTACTATTCATTGAAAAAAAAAGAAGTTTACACACACAGGGAGCAAATCATTAACACTGGAAAAAGCTGGCTAAAGTGTACAGGTGTTCTTTTCACTCTCTTGCAACTTTTCTGTAAGGTCGAAATTGCTTCCAAATAAAAAGTTGTGTGTACTCAAAATATACTATACAGTATAACCTTTGTGGTGATGGTGGTGGTGGTAGCAGGGAGGATAGTAAACTTCCACAGTATAAAATGCCCCACGGTGAAGGAAGGAAGCCCAGGGCACCCCAGGCACAGCTTCCCTGGGAATGTCCCCCGGCTGGCTCTCGGCACCTGAGCACACAGGAGGCTTAAACAGCACAGAGAATCAGGGTGGAAGGGGAGGGATCAAGATGTGGGGAGGGTGATGGAGGGAAGGAAGAATGAAGATGTCCTGTCCCGGAACAAACTCCCCAGCCCAGGGTGAGCACAAACACCACACATTGCAAACGTGGACCAAAATAATAAGAGACGTCCCAGGTAACGTCACCAGCTCACAGCACCACAATTCATTTGTGTTACACTCTAAAAAAATTATCCTTGCAATTTTAACGAAGACTGCATTTTCAAACCCTCAATATTAAAGTGGTCAGTAGACCTCTCTGAACATGGCTTCTTGCTTCCGGAAGGAAGGTTACTAAGCAAGAATTCTTTAATTTCCTTCCTCTATAAAGACTGGCACCTTCCCTGAAGACACATCTGTTTTATCTTCTTGACCTGTTGACCTCTTTGAATGACCCTCTGCCATCTCAGCCTAGAGCCCATTTTGAAAGACATTAGGACAGCAGTGTAAATCTCCAAGGTATTTGTTTCTAAGAGTACGACCCTAGTATTTCCATGCAGGTGTTCGGAAGTTATTTTAAAAACATCAGTGATCTTCATTTCAAAATCATGTCTCTTTGCAAGTAAAACCTTGATCAACCTTGGTCTCATTTTCCAGGGAGGGCTCCAAATCAGACTTAAGCAGGAGTTCCTCAGGAGGAAGAGACATTCACTAAATCATGAGGTTCCTTTCGACTTACCTTTAGGGGCCGCTCTCAGGATCAAGAGAGATTCATTGGTCTGCCGAGCAATTCTTCCTGCTCTCTCCTGAAAACTGTTTGCTGTATTTTTCAATTCACTCAGCTTCAGTGTAAGACCTGTTTAAAGAGAAGAAAAAAGCTCCCTTTTAGGTTAACTTGCTAAAATGTTGCCTAGCAACAGCAGATCCTTCCTAACCGGCCTTCAGAATCAGTAGCTTCTGCAGACCCCCAGTACCAAAAGGTCTTCCAGGAAGCCAGCACTGTTCATAACAGGGATCACAGTGCACCTCTGACCCCCTTGATCTTGCACTTTGCTTGTCTTGCTCACTGGTATTTCTTCCTCAATTTCATGTGCAAGATTTTCAGAGCTCAGGGTGAAGCGCTGTTCGAAACATGCAGTCCCTGGTGGTCGCTGTGACTCCGCGTTTGCACCTGGTCTGGGCCACTTCCTCCTCTGGGCTGTGAAGCCCCTGTGTGGAGTGGGCTCCTCCTTGGGAATCCATCCCTCTGGTCCCTTCCTGCCCCTGGGGAGCCCTCGGACCCCCATTCCCTTTGACCACCGGGACTGAGCTGCCATCCCCTTGAATCAGTGCCATTTGATCCAAGCTTCTGTCCCTAGTACTCAATCACGTTTGAATTTTGAACTAAAATGTGAATTTTAATTGTCAGGAGGGTCACCCTGGGAGATCCAGCTTGGGACTTGGAACTGGTCCGAAATGGCAGAAGCTGTGTGCACGGCTCCCTGTTCACCCCTGTAGCGGAAGTCCTGCTGCCTCCGGCGCAGTAGAACACAGGAAGGCAGAAAGCACAGTGTGTGGCGGGAAACTGCACGCCCCTGTCCTTGCTCTCATACAACGGGATTTTGCTGCCATTTTGTGTCACGTGCACTGGATGGCTCTCACACATGGCAAGTAGTTGCTTCTTGAAACTTAAGACAAACTAAACGGCATGGCCATTTTTGAAGTGCACAGACAAATTAGGACTTAACCCAGTAATAACATGACTATACCAACGGTCTTTCTCACTCATTACCAGTGAGAAGGGCAGCTGCAGTACCCAACATGACACACCCTTCAAGGAAACAGGAAATAATTAGGGCTGAGCAGAGAGGTGTCTGTGATCAGAGGTCACTCAACAAACATAGGAGGAACAGAGGGAGGCCCAAACTCAGGCAAGGAGAGGACTTGGTCACCCAAAAAGGTGTAGAGATGGGTGTGCACCTCCCGATCAGTGTGTGCTGCCGTTACACAAGGCTCAGAGGGTGAAACTGGAAAGTCTGTGGGACAAAGGGAAGCGAGGCTTCGACCTGCTCTGGGGGAGGAGCGAGGTGCTGGAGGCTCAGAGACGCGCTGCCCCCCGCTGCCCACGGCGTGGCACTGACCTTGCTGCTTCCTGCTCAGGCTGCTGCTGTTGCTGAGGAACCCGGAACTGCGCTGCTCAGCCGCCTCTGCGCTGGCCACCAGGGACTCTGAGGACTGAGAAAGAGAAGGACATGAACAGGGTGACCGTGAGACTCTGGAATCCTTCGGGGACAGACAGAGCAGCCCTGAGAGGGGCCACGAGCCCAGCTCCAGGAAGAACGCCCACAGGGGACAGGCAGGGAAGGCTCCCTACCAGGGAGGAGCCAGGACGCAAAGATCGGTGTGCGTCAACGAAGAAAGAACCCAGCCATCATAAAAAGATTTTCACAAGGAAAGGAACAAACATATCCCAAGTGGAGTTCAGGCAGCACTATCATTCTTCATCGTAACAAATGGTGACATTTCCTCATCTCTTCAAAAATAGTTTTTAGTCTTTTTTTTTTGGTTTTTCTCCGGTACTGGGAACCAAACTCATGACCTTGTGCTTGCCAGGCATGCGCTTTGCCAGTGAGCTAAATCCCCAGCCCTAGTTTTTACTCTTCATAGAGCATATTTATGACTTAAAAAATTCAAAGGACTGGGCACGATTGTGTGTGCCTGTAGCCTCAGCTACCAGCAAGGCTGAGGCAGGAGGATCACTTCAACTCAGAGTTTCAAGGCCGTCCTAGGCAACACAAGGAGATCATGTGTTTTAAAAAAATAAAATTAAAAGGTATATCACATGATGACAGATGCCACGAGCAGATTCCACTGGAGAAGAACACGGAGGAGTGCATATTCAGGGTGCAGAGTCAAGGCCCCAGCTCCAGTGGGGCGCCTTCCCGCAGTGTGGGAGCGGGGCGCGCAGCTGGGGCCACACTTACCAGCTTCGCCTTCCTTGCGGTCTCCAGTGCAGCTCCAGCCAGGCTCTGGGATTCTCCCATCAGGCTCTGGATGTTGGAGTGGACATGCACAGCGCTGGTCGCATTCAGGGACACATGTCTGACGCTTTCCAGGCCGCTATCAAATCAGCATATGTAGAAACGCTATGATAAACTGAATTGAAAATTCACTCTTCCACATTGCAAGCACCTGCTAGTGAAATCCCCCTAGTTCAGCAGCAAAGAATACCAAACTGGATTTCCTGCTAAAGCCAAAAGTTGCAGTGTCGCAGGAACAGGCAGAATAGCTCTTTAATTCCTGAAGGGAGAGACTATCACTGTCTCCCTTTTTATCACCTTCTGAGGTCGCTGGCTGTGTTCCCTGAGCCGTCTCACTGCCTGCACAGGCTGGGGGACCCCGGTGCATCTGCTCCGGTTCTGAGCTCCGCTGAAACACACCCGCTGATTTCCCAAAAGTTTTCCTACACTCACACCAGAGAAGCCCTGACCAGCTGGACTTCATCCTAACCCGTGGCCAAGGCCCCGATTGTCAACTGGTACCGGCACGATGCCATCACGCTGTCCCTGTCTGTAGAATGAAATCAAGATCAGTAGAATTTCAGGTGCTGCGCAACTCACTCCATTTTCTTTCCAAAGTTATCGAGTGGGACAACCCCCACCGCCACTACTGTCTGTTGCAATTTACTGGCAAGATTTGATGATTCACAAATAAAAGATAATCATCTCATCTAACTTCACATAGCCTGTCAAATTGCCGGCACCATCCCTATACTAGGTGATAAAGATTTTCTTCTAGCTACGGAGTCCAAACCTTTTCCTCTTTTCAGAAGTAAAGAAAGGTGATTAACAAGAGAGAAGCTAGGTGTCTATTCCATTTGCTGTCACGGCTTCCTGCAGCATGGTAGGGAGTAGCGTTCAATTCAACACGCAAGTTACAAAGTAGGCTGCCCTGTACCACTGTTAATTTCTTTTGTGGCAGGAGCTAATTTTTAATGGCAGCATTTCTCAGGAGGGGAGACGGTTTCCCCATGGACAGAGTATACCCCCACACAAAAATGCGCACATTTCATTTTCCAGTGTATATGGACTTTTTGCATTCACTATTTGGACCAGATTGTAAAGAACTAAATTTACCAATAAATACCCTAGGTTGTATAAATCACTGGTGAGACCTACAACACTGATTCCCACAGCTGCTGTATACTAAAGTCACCTGGACATCTTTAGAAAAGTGACAAAGCCCAGGTCACATCCTGGAGCACTTATGTCACACCCTTGGAGGACAGAGGAAAAGGGACAAAAGGATAAATACTTCATGAAGTGCACCTGGTCAGTCTCCTGAGCATATGAGTTTCTCCACCACTGGCCTGAAACCATGCTCCATATTTAAAGGCATTTGGGACACATTTAACAGATGTCCAAAATGAGAAGTTAAAATAACTGTACTAGTTACTTTGGTAAACCTTCAGACAGGAGAGAATAACTGGGGGCTCAGAAAAGAGGCCAACACTTCTGTAAGCAGACAGTGGGCAGCAAATCTTTCACTGTAATGAGCAGCTCCTCGGGGGCAAGATCTGAACCCCCATCCCACCCAGCACGCACCGGGCACTCAGTAGATGTTCGCTGAAGCACGGACAGCTTGGTAGTATACCATACGATGTGATTTTGACCCTATCCAGGTCAGTCTGCATTTTTCCACAGTATATTTACACCAGGGGGAAACTAGGTTAACAGACACGGGAGGAAAAGATGTGCCGAGTGAATGAAATGGGAGCTATCATCTTTGCACAAGTGTGTGGCCTCACCTGTCCAGGACGCCTGCTAACCCCTGGAGCTCGGTGGCGTGATCCTCAGCTCTGTAGACCAGGTCCACCATTCTCCTCTTGGACATCTGCATGACCAGGTGGTCCACGTGGCTCCTGATCTTGGCCGCCCACAAGAGCAGCTGGTCGCGGTGCTGCTCTACCTGCTGCACAGGGAATTAATTCTGTGACACACGAGCACCAACCCAACAGGTACGTGTGCACAGGGTCCCTAGGAGTCCACCAGAGCCGTCCCAGCAGGAACTTACTGCCAGAGTGTTTTGAAAACTGTCTGCCTGGGCCATGGCCGCATCCATCAGTCCTCTTGCTTCAGCGACCAGCTCAGAGGTCACGTTCTGTTGTTCTTGAAGATGCAGCTTTTGATCCTGCAGTGAACAATCACTTTTTAAGGCTGCCTTGTGAAAGCAAGCCAGAGTCTCCAGCCACCTGCCGCAGCTTGGACTTGGAGCTGACTTTGTGAGAAGCTAAAAGTGATCCCATTGGCTCAGGAGCAGTGGGTGGCCACTTCTACCGAGAAGGGGGCGAATGGGACTCACACTGAGATCGCTCAGGTTGGCCTCGCTGAGGAGCAGCAGCCGGGCGCTCTCCTGGGTCCTGGCCTCGGCCTCACGCAGCAGCTCCTGCGCGGCCTGCAGCTCTGCGGTGTGCTTTGAAAGGAGGCGCCTGGCTGCTTCCTTCAATCCTTCCAGCTCTTCCTGTGGCTGCTGGAAATTCTTCTGGACCGCAGAGAGTACGTCTTCAGCAGCCCTGAGAAACAAACGCTTCACATCGTCAGTCAGTGCCCAAAAGACCTCCCACCTCTGAAACGGGAGGGGAAGGGAATCTGTAAAAGATACTCAGCCACAGGAAGGGCAGGTTTACACTATAAACTATCTTCGTTCACAAGCTCATCTGCACTCAAAAACTTGGGACCATATTCTGTGTGAGTGATGGGAACTGCAATCTTTCATTATAACGTGGCGAGAAATTGAAAAAGAAAGCCATTCAGTGTTTCCTACGAGTTTACCGATTTCTTTATATGACAAAGGGTTTTCTGTAGTTGGTTAGGAAATGGGTTTCATAAAAGCTTTCAAGATCAAACTTGCTTAAAAGATGTATTAGTGCCATTAACAAATACAAGCTTTAGCAAATCAAAAGATTTTTTCACATTCCTTTATATAATCAAGTCATTAAATTTCTTCTTTAAATCCATTTTGAACGTATAACTGCACAAAATAATGAAATTTCACATCAGAAATCCTCACAGTGCTTAAATCTACCCCTCTGATTCTCTGCTTCAGGGAGTCAGGTAACCTTTGAAAGAGCCCTGACAAATGCCCCGTAAAACACCCCCACTTCCACAGGCACCAGGGCTCCGGGCTGAAATGCAGCAGAGCGCAGGTATTGCCCGTGGGCAGCGTCAGAATAGCATCCGAAGTTACTTCCACTCTTACCACTTCTCACTCCAGTGAGGATGCTGGGTCATGAAGCAAGTGACAAAAGCTAAAGCAGAGTTCATGGGAAACACAAATCTGAGTTCTTATTTTTTTTTTAAATAAAAGGTTTCTTTCTCTCTCTGTTTTTTTATGCTCAGTGGTACTAGGGATTGAACCAAAGGCTTTTTACATTGAAGCACATCATCAATCCCTTTTCATTTTTTATCTTTAGACAGGACCTCACCAAGTTGTTAAGGTGACCCAGCTGGGCTCAAACTTGCGATCCTCTGGCCCCAGCTTCCCAGATGCTGGCATTACAGGCCTGTGTCACCATGCCCAGGTGTAAGGTTCTTTTAGGTAGAGTTCCACTTATGACTGAACAGAGAAATCAGCGATCTGATCAGTAACTACTCCAAAGAGAGACGAAAGAGCAGCGATACTGAGCAAGAAGTCCAAGTGCCTGGCCCTGGAGGAGGGGGAGGGCACCCTTCCTCCCGCTTCCTCTCGAATCTACTTTTCCCAAATGCACCAGGAGCTTCCAGCTGGCAAAAGGGCTCTGTTATCCTCCTCTGTGTCCCCACTGCCTGGGGCCATGTGTCCACTCTATAAGTGACCACATGCACTGTCCAGGGGTAGGGGACGGTGGGAGGGGACAGCCCACAGGTCACTCCTGAGGGCCTGCAGAGAGGGCTGCCTGGGGACTGCCATCCTTACAAGCTTCTCAGCAGGTGCGATTCCACCCCTCCAGGACAGGAGCTCGGACAACACTGATCCAGTGTGAGGAGAAGGTCAGGCGCTCCCTCCAGGTGCACAGGAGGCGCTCTGGGGGACCCTTTCTGCCAGACCAGACCCTCCCCACCCCACGCCCGCACTCTTAGCCACCTCGGGCCACACTGAGGCTGTGGGCTCTGTCTCCAACTCTCCAGCTGCAGCCCCTCCTCCTGGGCCACCCTAGCAAAGCACAGCAATACAGAAAGATGCCCAGTGACCAGAGAGACACATGCCTAACGCCAGTGTGCTGCCGGGGGGAGTGCACACTGCTTTCAAAAATAAATTGTAGAAGCTGGGTGTGGTGGTGCATGCCTGTCATCCCCGTACTTGGGAGCCTCAGGCAAGTTTGAGGGCAGCTTGGGCTACAAAGTGAGTTCAAGGCCAACCTGAACTGCATAGCAAGACCATGTCTCAAAAAGGCAAAACAAACAAATAAATAAATAAATAAATAGTAGAAAATAATTTGCAGATGCATATCAGGAATCCTCAAAAGGCAATTTGACTAAATGGTTCTACTTCATCATATCTACCTTGATAAGATAATGACTTGAAACAGGAAAATTTATATATATATATGTATATATATGTGTGTGTGTGTGTGTATGGATTTCTATGGAGAAAATTCACTGATTCTTTAGTGAATATATTTATATATATAGTATAAATATGTAATTATTTGGTACTTAAATACAGAGACATATAGAAAAAAATAGAAAAAATTGCATGAGATGTCCACGCTTAAAACAGCACACAACTGACAGTGTAAATAGGTCACTAGAAAGAACAGAAGTTTAACTAAGTATCATTTGGCTCAAACAGCCCTTGGTCGACACTCACCACCACCTGCACAAGGACAACTCTTGCTATTGTATCACATAACAAGCCTGATAGAAACGCCTAGCTCCCTGCAGCTGGGGAGCCAGGGCTTTGGGGTCTGTGTGTGCTCACACAGTTAGGGTTTGTGCATCTGAGCACCGTCCATCCAATCTTGTGCCTGTCTGTCCTCAAGCTCACAGCCTGAGTATGGGCAGACTGTATCTTCATCTCTGAGGGACTGGCTTGTACTTGAGCTATGATACACAGTGCCACAGAGCTCTGTAGAGTCACAGAAAAACCCTGACCAAACAGCACAAAGATAGGCTGTACCACCTGTACTCATGAGCAGGGGCCAGTTCCGTCTCCCGGTTTACCCTGGTGCCCTCTCAACTCCTACAATGCCCACCCGCCACAAGCACCTTCTTTCCATTGCTCCTCCTCCCCGTAGCACCCATCACCCTGCCTCCACCCGCAGCGAGTGAATGGTCCCTGGGAACTTACTCGAGCTCCAGGGAGGCGTTGCGGAGCAGCTCTGCGAACTGCCTTTTGTGCATCATTGCCAGCAAAGAGTCAATGTTTTGTCGCATGTTCTGAAGAGTAGAACTGGGCAGCTGGACATCTTCGTCTAGAGTCTGATTCAAATTTGTGGCCTTTTCAAGGATTTCTATGGAGAAAATTCCCGATTCTTTAGTAAGTCCCTGCAAAGGGGCCAGTGCTCAGGACTTTCTCTGGCGAGGACCACTCTGTCACCAATGTGCCAGCACTGGACATCCCCTAACACAATCCCATGCACTCGGATTGCCAGTTGACTTAGCTCAGTATTCCACAGCACCCACAGGGGCAGGGACGGTGTGCATCCTTTTCCCCACGACATCTGTACGCAAAGCTCCTCACTAAATATTCTCTGCATGAATAAACTACTCTTTTTATTTAATACTTTTAGTTCAAATACTTTGCTCCATTTTTGCCCCACAAAGCCTGATCTGCCCTGGATTGTGCACCCTTTAAGCCCTAACACTATAATCCCCCCAAAAGGCAAGAGCACGTTTCTGATAGCTAAGAAATGAGCAATCGCTTGCTGCAAGCTGGAGAGACCCAGCTGAGGAGCGCATGAATACACACACACTAATGGGACGTGCTCAGGCACTGCACCGCAGCCCCAAATCCTGTGAGCTCCCACTTGGGGGACTGGTGGGAGGGACCGATCAACTTCACCATAACCGGAACTGGAGAATTAGGGTCCAAACGCTAGGCTTAACAGAGAAAATAGGAAAGAAACTGCATACTGTTTAAAGAGAAAGCTTTCACCTAAGGATGACAGCCTGGACCTACCGGGTGCGCTGAACTCAGGAATATTCCATCCTTTAGCTGTAGCACACCCAGCACCAGACACACACATCTATTCACGCGTTTAATCCGGGGACCACGGCTCTTCCCACCACAGGAGCACAGAGTCCGCCGCCCCAGGCCCTCCCACTCTACCTCTGATGTTCCTCTGCAGCCACTCCACAAACGCAGCCAGGTCTTGACTGCCCTGGAGGATCTTCTCTGTGGCCCTGCCCAGCTGCTGGCTTCGCGGGAGCACGCTGGCAAGCTGGCGGAAAGAGGGCTCGGTCAGTCGGCCTCAAATGATTCGCACGCTTGAGTCTGCAGCTGCTTCGTCTCTTAGGAAGCATAATCGAGGCTGGGAGAGGAGCTCCGTGGCAAAGCCCCGGGCCCTGAGTCCCAGCCTCAGTGCCGCCGAAGATACACATTCCAAAACATACAGGAATGACACACGTGCGTCGTCTTGGGAACAAAGATGAGTATTTCTGGGTTGGAGACCGTCTGAGAGGTTAAAGAGCTAACTTACTCCTCATTCGACCCACGGAAGATACGGCACTTTCATAAGCAGCCTAACTGATCATCACGGCACAGACTCTCCCCAGGTCTACACCGGAAGACCCTGGAACCCAGGGACGGTCACACATCACTCAAGTGGCAGGGACGCACCCTGAGAACACCGTCACTGTGCGAACATCACGGTGTGCTCACACACGTCTGTACAGACCGCTATACACCTAGGCTGTGCGCATGCGTTCATGTTGTGTCTATGCATGTGCGCATGCCCGACCACACGGACACACAGGGCATCTCCTGCTGCTTCTAGGGAACAATGAAGACAATTGCTTGAGATGAAATCAAGCACAGGAGAAAGCAGCACGCTCTGTGTACTCCGCGGACAAGAGACGTAAGAAGCCGAGGGTACAGGAGGAGGGCTCCGCCCAACAGTGGGAGAAGTTTAGTGCTGCGCTGACCGGCACAGGGCCTTTATGGCCATTTCCAAACAATTCTGTATGACTCGCAGCAGGGTGGGACCTTTACCCAACATCACCACAAACACGAGGAGAGCCCTGAGCTACAACCCAAGGACAGCCAGGATATCAGCAGGCAGCGGGAACTCCTCCGCTTGCTATTAGCCTGTGGGGTTACTGGCAGGCACGCTGTGCATCGATGACTGAAAAAACCAGCAGCGCCCGACCGCACAGCATGCAGCGCCCGACCGCACAGCATGCAGCGCCCAACCTCGGCATCTGCATGGCGAAGAGGACAGGGACCCCAGGGCTAAGAACAGGGGCCAGGCACGCAGCTGTGCACCTGGCTCCACCAGGCAGTGCCGCAGGGGTCGGGGAACACAGGGTCCTTAGGAAGGTGACTGTGAGCTGCTGCCCAAAGCCTGCAGCCCAGAGGTGGAGACCTAGCTCCTCTCGGCTGGTATTTTCATTGGGAATTTTGTAATAGGTAAAGGGAGGATACTTTATCTTTCCAAAAATGTAAAACAGCTCAGACCAGGTCTAAAGGTGTTTTCTACTCAAGATCAAAGAGATCTTTCCTGCATACAGAGAATTTATTCTAATCAGCTTCTCACTTCACACCCAATGCTTGCTTCAAGAGGCGTGCAAAGCTCCACCTAAGCCCTTAAACTCTTTTCAAACCTTTGTGAATTCTAAATCCCCCGGAGCCAGCTAATACTTGTCTTCAGGGGACTGTGCATGTGTGCTGAGAGATCTGTACGTGAGGACCGTAAATCTGACTGTGGGACTCCCACATCCGCGCGTGGGGAGCCTCCCCGGCCATCACTGAACGCCATTCGTCTGGCACGAGCCAAACAGAACAAATTATTCACTGCTGTCAGGACTCCCTTCCTTGCCAGTGCAGGTGCTGAGATCAGAACTGCCTGGCCCAAAGCCTGAGTGTGGCAGACACCACACACGCGGAGGCCTGGGGGCGCTCATCTGCCTGCTAAGTCTGGGAGCATCACCGACCTCCGCACATCCCACCAGCCCTGGGGCTCAGAGAGGACCATGGGAGTCAGGCTCCAAAGTGACTGTCCCGTTCTGTCCTCAGAAGAGACGCACACAGAATTAAGTCACAGCTTTTCCTACCAAACCGCGGAAACCAACACGGTTAGATGACAAAGAGGCTGCCCCAGGCAGACCGGCAGCTGGCTCTTCACCTGGTTTTGCAGGTCGTCCACTTGCTTTGCAACACTGTCAAGTTGAATTTCTGCCAAATTCTTTTGGGAATTTTCTTTTAATAGAGATTCCTAAGAAGAACAAAGGAAACAGTACAATGCTACAAAATAAAATGTTCTTTTTCGTATCAAAGAATCACCTGTTATTTCTTTTTTTTTCACAGAAATTCTACTTTCCTTGAAGCTGTCATTTAAAAATAAAGCAAATCACCTTACCTAAGCTTCATTTATACCATCATGATTCCATACCACCACCTTCTGCACGGTTCTTAATAAACAGGTATAAATTTAAAGTGATTTAAGCACAGTGGGAGAATACCATCATTCTTAGATAAAAGTCTGGCTTTATTTCAATATCAAAGTCACGCATTTTAACTATGCCAAAAATTTTTAAATGCTTACTAAGCTAAAAGTTAAGGGAATGCTCAATAAAGAGCTTTTATCATTATTAATAATTAAAGTGCTTAATGTATGTCACCGTTCTATTTATCCATGTGACTTTACTTAACCCTTACAACAACCTGCTGCAGCAGTTATGTTACTGCCTCAGGGATGTGTCCCTCGTCAAGCTCATCAGATTGCAAATACTGAGATAACACTGGGACTTTATATAAACCTCACAAGTCACGTGAAGGATGGCCGATAGTTTAAATTAGAGAAAGTCATTCAAAATCAGTTAACTTTGAAATCATCCACGATTTCACTTGATAAATTTAAAGAAGTTCTATAACCTTGGGCCCAAATTAGCAGAAAGTACAATTCTTTACATCTCTTTCCTATTAGAATTTTAATGGAGGTAGAAGTTATTCCCTTTCAAAAACGTGTTTTGCTATTTAAGGAAAAATAGCATAAAAACAGTTTTTAACAGTTCCCTATCCTAGCCAGGCTTAGAAGCATAAACGTGTAATCCCACCATTTGGGAAGCTGAGATAGGAGGATTGCCACGAGTTCAAGGCCAGCTTAGGCTACATAGTGAGACCTTGTCTCAAAAAACAAAAAAACAAAATACATCCAAAATAACCCACACAAAAAAGAGTTCTCCATCCTTTTTTACTACTGTTACAGAGAAAGGGCCATTCTAAAGAATGGACCACCAAACCAGGCCCATCGCAGATGCCTATGGAAATAGTAAGTCTAACAAAGGTTTTTATCTAACAGTGGTCATTTAGGACCCCTCTTCCTGTTTATTACTGCTCAGCACAGTGAATAGATGATCTCAAACCCTAAGGTACAGGTACAAAGCACAACTGAAGAATGATAACTTTTCCCCATTAGCATTAAAAGTGCCCAGAGAGGATGCTATCCACTATTTCAGTCTCTTATCCGCCCTTTGATTTTCACCATGCCTTGTTAACGCGGTGTAAAGCTAGGCTTTACTAGGAGAGTTTCATAATTTCCTGGAGAAGGAGGACTCTTGGGCCCTGGGGCTACAGGGGGGACTAGTACACGGAACAACAAGTGGCTTCGTCTGAAACACCAAAGGGGATGCTGCCGGAGGAGCTGCGCTCGTGTCAGGACAGCTGCCTTCCCAGCACCCGAAGCTTCACCTAGAGAGGAGCCCATGGGTGCTCCTGGCCCTCGGGATCCAAGGTGAATGGAGGTCTCCAGGGAGCTACTCTCCAACCACACAGCCAGCCCACAGGGACCCGGCTGCGTGAGACCATGAGGTCGCCTTCACCTCCCCCTCAAGGCAATGCTGGACACTCCTCGAGGCGCAGGGTAGGAGGGTGGCGGCTCCCACCCTGAGTGACTCCCAGTGCCCCAGGACTCTGTCTCTCTCTTCCTGTACCTACCCGGAGATATCTCGTTGTATTTTCCAGGTTTGACAAAACTCCATAGGGGGCAGGGAAAATCCCGGTGAGGTTCACAGACAGAATGGCGTTGCCAGCACGGTCCAGGTCCCCCAGCAGCACACCCACACACTCATCGTCGCACGCTAGGGGAGAAGAAGGGGGAGTTAGCACTGCCGAGGGGCGGCCCTGTGTCCCCTGGCCTCGGGAGCCACTGCACTGCGCTGACCTAGGTGGCAGAGGACCCGCCTGTCCCCTGGTACCATCTGGTCTCAGTCGCACTCGGCTGCAGGAGGGTGGTCTGGCAGGTAGTGCCGAGCGCCCCTTCCCATAGGGGGGACACTGAGGCTCAGGTCAAAGCAGGGACATCCAGAGGTCACGCAGGAAGGGGCAGCTGAGCCCACGAGTGGCCTCAGTGTGGCATGGCCCGTTCTGCACTGACTGTCATGGTGCCCTTGCTCGTCTTTAACTCAGACCCACCACAAAGAATTCCAGCTGAAGCCCAGCCGGCCCTTCCCAGAGCGACCGCAGCAAGGTCAAGGGAAGGACACGGAGAAAGCACAGGGAGGCTTTGCTCACAACAAACACAAAAAAGTGAAAAAGCTCTCCGCACCATGGTCCTCACCCCTTCCTGACCCAGAGCCACCTGTGACTCGAAGGTGCCGACGTCTTGCATTTGCTGGCAAGGTGAACCAGCGTTGGAAAACCCAACAAGAAAGCCTGCAGCTGCAGTGAGACTGCGTGACACCAGTGACCCATCGGGGGTGCTGCCTCGCCTGTGCCGACCCTTCCTCGGCTCCCCTGAAGAACAACGAATGCGGCCGAGGTTGAAATTCCCGGGCTGCTCTGGCTGCCAGAGAAATAAGGGGGAGCAGCCTGGGACCTCCTGCCTCAGCGTGCAAATGCACTACTAAAGGTTGAATTACAGAGATGCAACCACAGCCTACGCTCAGTTAAGAAAGCAAGTGAAATATAAAATACAACAGGACAGTCGGGCACCACAGACTCAGCTCTCCTCGGCGAGGGAAGCATCCCAAACACTGCTGCAACCCTGGGGAGGAGAGACACCCACAAACACAGCTGCTGTGCACTAGCAGGTGCCTTGGCTGGCAGTCGTCACATCGGAGCCCCGCGGCCCCCGGCTTGCAGGCGCACCGCCCGGACAGCGGGTCACAGTTGCCGTGCACAGAGCCCTGAGGGCTACAAGCACACTTCTGGCAGCTGCCACCCAACATCCCAGGGTTCCCATAGTAGCCCACGGAGCACCTGCGGAAAGACACGAGGGACAGACGTTAGGACAGACGTTAGGACACACGTGTGCAGTCCACACCAGTCCCTGCCTCGGACCATCTCATCCCTGCAGGATGGAACAGAGCACACAGTGCCCGCTGGCGACCCTGCTTTGCAGCAGTCCTGAGGGCCGCATCAATCATGCACATACAAATTGAGACTGACGCCCCAGTCGCCACTGTAAATATGTCTAAGACGTTCCAAAAGGCGTGGTGTGGAGAAGAACATTCTTTACTCTTTTGTGTATTGCCTGAGGCCTGACCAAGCCATGATTGCTGGGTTCTGGAGGAAGTCTAGCATAAGCATTGTAAGCCCCAGGATCAATACTAGATGCTTTGCTGAGATATGGGCGAAGGCAGGCAACATGATGGCTTACTGGTCAGGTTGCATTCCTGTGATAATTGAGTTGTACTATCCTTGCTAAAACAGTTGATACTCTCAGATTCCTCTGCTGCCTCCTGGGTGGATTCTGAATAAAAGGTTACTGAAGAGGGTAATCAGGGGGCAGTCAGTCCTAGAGGCTGCTAGCGCCTGATCACAGGATTTTGGCTCTCTTGGTTTGATGTATTCTTACTTTTCTTATACATCTGCGGGCACCTAGTTCGGGGGATCTGTTCACCCTGGACAGAGTTGGATGAGAAGTCCTACAGCGTGGTGTCCCGAGAGGTCTCCTGTGACAGTCCCACAGCGTACCTTTCACAATACCGGCCTTCGTAGCCCACAGCACAGGCATTGCAGCGGAAGCCGCCCTCAACTTCCAAGACACAAGTGGGACTGAAACTGGAAGAAAAAGAGTTTTGCCCTTCAGTTTTGAGATATACAACTTCAAAACTTTCTTCAGATGCTTATCCATCGCTGTTCAGTGGTGCTAAAGTAAAGCGTGACACTGGATGTTTGGAGAAGCTTGTTAGAGTTAAAATCTGTTGGGCAAAACCAATGAACATCAACACACTGTCAATATAAATGTGAGTACAGCTTGTAGCCAAGATAGGCAGGAGGCTCTTTTTAGTGGCAGTCAAGGAGGGGCAGAGGAAAAGACCGATCTTAGGGATGATAACTAATTAGTCACCCAAGAAAGCTTTCTGGGTAGGCAAAGGTCTCACTCTGAGATTTAAGGCAACAATCAGAGGAAAGCAAAAAGCCAGCTGGAAATGAATGGACTGAGGTGGGAGGGCGTCATGTGCTGAGTTAGAGGAAGCAGAGGACAGAGTCTGGAAGGGTCATGACTCCCCCCACGTCGACCTCCTTAGGGACTCAGCCTTGGGTGCATTCCTTTCTTCGCCTGCACGTGCTAAGCTTCTCAGGCACCAGAGACGAACCCAGAACCTGTGAACATCTGACACCAAACCTGGCTGGAATCAAGCCTGGACCCTTGCTCACTGGTGAGATAAGAGTCCAGCGGGACTCATCAGCGCTATCCCAAGTCTGACTTCCTTATTCTCCTTAAATAACAAGAGGACAGACTTCAACGGAAACACAAATATGTAGATTCAGACAACACATGGAAGGTTCCCGTGTCACAGTCTCTTCTGAAGAGTATAACAATCTCCTCCTCCTGGTGCAACTTATAATGTGGGCTTGGGGGACCGCTAGCAACTTTTCTGAAAGAGTATTTGAACAGTATAGATGTGTGCAAAACAGAAATATAAACTATCCTTCCAAGCATTCCTCTGGACACGTACAGTCATGTGCCTATAGACACAGATATTCACATGGAAATGAGCTTTTTCTGAAATGGGGTCACACTGCGTATTCAGTTATAGACTTCCAGTGGGCACTGGCTAACCCTTGACTGTGGCCGGGACACCGAGTTCTCACATACGGCTCGACATTCGCTCTAGGACTGTGTCAGCATCCACGTGATCTGACCCGTGGAGGCAGGTCTGCCAGCTGCCTCCGAACTGCTCGTGAGCTCGGGCAATGTAACACACATCCACTTTACACACATGCCCAACCTCTGAAGCAGCGACCACAGGAATTGAGCCTACAAGTCAACATTTATATACACATTTAATTAAAAAAAAAAAACAAGTAAAAACCACAACAAATTTCAGGGTGCTTGGTAGTTTACAAGGCAAGTGGATGTAGTCCCTTTCACATTGTCCTCATGATCAAATGCTGTGTTTCTGGGGATGATAAAAGGAGCTTTACATAAATATTAAAAAGAAAGCTTCATTTTAGGCCACCAATATTTGGTATTTGCTCTGTGTTTGATTGTTGGAGACCACTACAAAATGGTACTGAGCAGGATTTAATACTAACCAACTGGCTTTCCACATTTACTTGTGAGTTTGCTGGAGGCCTAGGCCCTTGTCTGGAGATCGGCAGCGGACTCATAGCAAGTGAACCTCCTATGAGTTACTGGTCCCCACTGAGGTATGTGAAGCTGTGCACCTCAAAGGATGACATAAGACCACAGCTGAGGACTCTGGCTCCAAATCCAGTTAACTTAAAGGAGACTGTAGCTGCAGGCATCTCACTCCTGCTGTGAAGGCCTTCCTGGAGATAACATAGTTCTCCTAAATTAACATAATATATTACCTGGAGAAGTCCTTAAAGGGATTCTCAAGTCTTGCTCAGATTCGCTTTTCTTGAGTATCCCCCTCCTTTGTTTGAAAACCAAATAAATGTGGGCTGCCCAGAGCAGTCTTTGTCTAAACCCACAGAATATCAAATGCTATAAGAGTTAGACCCTCCTGGAGCTCTGAAATCATTTCAGTTGGCTCATTTATTTAAGCCTTTGCCGTCCACTTGCTTGGAAGGTTATTTAACCCAATATTTGATGCCTTTGCCATATACTCTAAGTGATAATACGTTCTTTATGAGTAATAATCTTCATTTGAACAACAGAGAACCCATTCATCCTTTACTTCCTGCTAAAAATCTCTGGCTCTTTTTTGCATTCCTCTAATTCTATGCAAGCATCCTGAGCAGGACATAGAAACCAGCCTGTCTTAGCACTAGGTCGCTCTTTGACACTATCGGGTACCATTCCATATAAATTATAGACCCATTCCCTTCAATTAAACAGAAACTGGGTTCTTTTGTATCATTAGTCACGAAGTTAGCAACACTTCATCTCTATGCAGGCTGGATACACAGCTGGGGACTAAACTGAATTTTTAGTTTGTTCCACACTAACACCCAAGAGCTTCATAGAGGCTTTGCTTATGAGCATGGAATGCTCTCCCCTGAAGCCAGCTGGGTCAGCACAGGAGGGGCTGACTAGCAGAGACCGAGGATTGAGACTGAGAAGGTCAGGCGGGGCAGCAGCTGCGAGCTCACCTGGCAGGGTGGCGATGGGGACAGGCGCAAGGGGTGCAGTCGTGGGCCGCGCCGGTCACCTTCCCGTAGTAGCCGGGAGCACACAGCTCGCAGTGCTCCCCAGCCGTGTTGTCCCTGCAGCTCTGCAGTTCGGAGTTTCGGAGAGGGAGAAAAACGGGACATGGTTAGAAGCCGCGCTTACGGGGTGACAGCCAAGCACGCCACGCCTCCTGTCACCGTGCGCGGCTTCCTCTTTCCTTTTTCCAGTTCTCAAGGAAGGAGCGGCATGTTTTCAACTTTTAATTCCTGGAAACCATTTCACCTCTGTGGCCTTTGTTCTTGCCAACACCGCACTCCTCCAACACAGCCTAGACAGGACCAGCGCATTCGTCCCAAGGAAAGCAGACGCAGGGCCCAAGGCACTCGGCTTTCAGGACCTCAAAATGTGGATCTAAAGTATGGGGTGACCCAAGAAACGACACGAGCTCTGCCTGGCTTTGGTGATCACACGCCCGGAGAGGGAGCAGCAGATTTAGGAAGTAGGGCGGGAAGAAAACACATGGGCTTAGAGCACCACCACCTGTTCTGCAATAACCAAGGAGATAGCCAGCAAGACAGCTCAGCAGCCCAGGGCCTGCCCGGCAAGTGCAAGAGTTGTGAGTTCAATTCCTGGTGCAATAACCAAGGAGAGTCCAGGGAGACCTGGTGGCTGCAGTTGGACCTGGGGTCTTGCTATGAGAAAAATACAGCAGTTTCTAAACTAGGAGACCACGAAACTGTCATCCGGTGTTGGTCCTGAATCTTCTCATGCTCTGCGTGTCTCGGTGCGTCCGAGTGATGGGCGGGATGCAGGCCACGGCCCCGAGTGAGTCCCCACTGCCCTCCTTTCCTCCTGGGCAGCGAGGATGATGGAGCGGTAAACCTTCAGGAATGTTTAAAAAGCTACGCTTAAAGTCCCTTTTATATTTAAAAAACAGCCCACTACTGTTCTGCTTCACCTTACACTCCTGTTTCAGCGGATCAAAAGTGGCCTCACAGGGATCCAGTTGGCCCCTCCAAGGGACATGGCTTCAGAAGTGACATGTGCAACCTCTTCCTTAAAACACTCCAGGATGCTTGCTTTACAACACAGCCCAGCGCTGACAGGGAACACATGCTGGGGCAGATGGAAGCAGAGTTCCAGGTTTTCCATGGCTGTCGTCCACTGTGCATGGAAAACTCCCCCTAGCGTATGATGCGTGGTGGGCGTCCTGGTTTCCCAGGTCCTAGAGGACTGAGGACCAGCTGCCCCAGTGAGCGGTGGAAGAGCAAGGATGGACAGAGGGTGGGATGCACTAGTTGCTGTGGGAGATGCACACAGCACGCCTGCCAATGTCTCTGCCACGTAAAAAGGCTCAGCTACATCTCTTGCAAATGAATGGCAGGGAACAGCCATGGCAGAAGGACTCTGGGATAGCTTCATGGTCTTTGGTCTTTCCCTTCCAGGTCTTATCAAAGCCAATGCCTTTTTTAATAACACCGAATGTCCAGTGATGCAAAGCAAGGGGACTATTTTATATACCTGATGACAGAATCAGACGCTTAGACATCGTGGTGCCCACCCCCATAATAGATAGCTGGAGACTGTATTAAAGGGAAGTGAACTGTTGCGCTGAACCACAAGAGGAATTTCTCAAGGAAAAGCCTCAGGAGGGAAGAGACAGTCTGATCTCAGACAACGAAGAAGAAGCGGTGAGAGGATGGACTGACGGGAAGAATGTAAGGTTTCCAAGCTCAGACGACACTCAAGCTGTTGTAGAGACAGAGCCCCTCGAGTTACAGAGGGCAACCCCCATGGGCTCCTTCACACTGTAAAGGTGTTGGGCTCTACAGATGAATGGCAACACGGACACCTCGGGCTGAAGGACAGAAGAACGAGCATTCTCCATGACCACCAGGCATGGACACAGGTGGCACAGCCTGCCCGGGCACAAGCCAGTCTCTTAGGACACAATGGAGACAGACTGGAGTACGTAGTTCTGCAAGTGAAGACGCTGCTGCTTCTCGTGAACAAATCCCAACTACTGCTTTATCTCAATGGCTCCACAGAAGAAAGCTGTAGCAAGAGGTGCATGATCCCAGGGACCTACGTCCAGGGATGATCAGAGCTGCCCAAAGGTGAGCTGCCTGGAGGAGAGCGCCCCACCATCGTGGGTATGTACGAGGCCATCGCCAGGGCTGGATGTTGTTGAAACTTAAGATGCAAAAGGGTTCTGACAAGGACTGAGAGACACTGCAACCCAGAGAGCCTGCGCTTTCAGCACAGACATGATCGTCTGTGCAAGGGGCACCGGTTATAGGGACTGATGATAAATGGTCACGGTGAGTGAGGAAGTCACTAGGGAAAAATGCAGGATGCAGACCTGTCAGGAGGAGAAGCAGGGATCAAAACGTGTTCTGCTCAACACTGTGAGCCTGGAAGAGAGCAGTCTCCACACAGCATCCGTGTCCAGCCCTCTGATGTGCGCGTGGCCTTTGTCAAGACTACCATATCAACTAAGGGGCCTGGGATGGGTCTCTGGGGGGTTCCTGGCATCCGGCAAACTGCTGCCCCAGAGCCCCAAGGATTTCTGCCTGTGTTTACCCCACGGAGACTTCTTGTGTGGTCTAAGGAGATTGCTCTCATGCCTTGGGTTGAGCAGGTTGTGTTACTTCTAGTGTACACATCAATAGATCGGTGGTCTGATAAGTTCCGTCTGGTAGACTTGGGCCAGGAAAGGTAAGGCGATGATTCAGTGTCCTAGGAATAACTCATCTTGTTAAAGCTACACCGAGGAAAAGGCGAAGCATGGAAGAACTGACAGGTGTGACCTCACGCCCAAGACTGGGTCAAGGCACCGTCCCAGCTAATTGCATCTAATTCCATCTCACTCTGGTTGCCTGAAATCCACTGCCCTTAAATCCTTATGTGAGAACTTCCGCTTCCTCTCTTAGGTCTTTGAATTTCCTGGAGTGTGAGCGATGAGAGTGAACAAAGGGTTTTTCCAGTGTCGCAGCCAGGTGCACTCACCCAGCCGGGGGCACCCTACCCTGCAGGACCAAGAGGCCTCTCACTGCTCGCAAGCAGCGGAGTCAGCAGAGCTTCCCTCGTGCCTTCATCACAGCGGAAGATGGAGCAGCGCTTCTGCCTCTGACTTCATCTGTGCGCGTCACCTCCGTGCACAATGGGCTGCCGATGGGGCCGAGTGTGGCTGGGGCCAGCAGGGACCCAATTCAGTCTGGTTCCCCGTGACAGGGCCCTACCCCAGCTCCAGGGCTCACGTAGGTCTCCCTCCTGATCTCTCTCATTTCCCTTCCATGACTTCTGCCAGAGTCGCGTGAGTCTCTGCGGAATTCACTCAATGACCAATGCTCCCATAAGTTACCGAGGAGGATGGGATGGTAGCAGTCTGGAGCATCTGCTTATTTCACCTCAGTCAGTGCTGGGAAACATAAGCAAAACCATGGGCACAAGAATTTGCCCTCAGTCATGGCCATGAAGCTTCTGTCTGAGTCACTCAGTCATTCCCAGAGCCTTCCCCATGTCTCCAGGACCAAACTTGGGTCTAGGCAGGGCACTGGGAAGAAATGTGAACTGTGACATGAATGACTCACTGTCATCGTCCAGTGGGTACTGTTTCAGAAATGCAAGGAGAGGGCGCTACTTTCCACAAAGAAGCAAACAATCTATGTTGCATGAACCTATTTCAAAATCTCTCCAGGAGTCTTCGGACTCTGACCTAAAGTTCTCATCTACTTTGACTCCAGTCCCCCGTGCAGCAAGTAGAAACCAGACCCGGTCAATTGACTCCCAGCCACGCCCACTAACAAATTCAGCGCAGCATAAAACTGATAAAAGCATCTTCCCTGACAACCTCAGACCATTTAGCTAAGTCCCTCTGAAGAAAATATACAAGGTGATCGAAATATATAGTGAATGTTTAAATTTTTAAAAAATATATTATAGTCAAGACATACTGCCACCAGTTCAATCCTTCCCCTAGCCTTGGACACACTACCTCATGCTTGCCACTTTCTGAAGCAGTTCTACAAATCCTTCTCTTACCTTTACGAGGTGTGATCAAAATAAAGCGAGGCCTGCGGCAAGCGCCGTCCAACAGAAAGGCAGGCTCACAGAACGTGACACTGTCCTCACCTGCCTTATTCACTGCCTTTGGTGCCGTGTAACCTTGGGCTCCCCAAGTTCAAGAGGATGGTGAAAGGTGAATGTGAATTCATTCAGAACATGCAGGCAGCCAGGACAGCGCGGCTAAAGACAGGAAAGAGGACGTGCAGAACCACTTCAGAAAGTCGCAAGCACCCTGGGGTACGTGTGCTTGAAGCAAGGGAGAGTGTATTGAGGGGACTCGTGGGAATGTGGCTCTTTCTGAAATAATTTTTTCACTTTAAGCAGTCCCCACAGTGCAGGCTCACATCTTCCACGGTATACTCAGGTACATCGCAGGTCTCGCTGTGCCAAGGACTGGTGACTACAGAGCAGAAACGGGGCGCTCAGTGTCTACACTGGCTGCAAGCCCAGGCCGGCACCCGCACGCTCACATACCAGGCACTTCCCAGTCTCGGGGTCACAGGCGTCACTGTGGTTGCTGCAGCTGCAGGGCACGCAGGGAGCGAGCAGGGCCCGGGATTCTCTGCCGCCGCCTCCTGGGAGCTTCTGTCTACGGAACCCAGGGGCACAGTCCTGCGGGGGCAAAGGGCACAAACAGTGAGCTCTCCGGCTAACCCAGGGGGGCCCTGAATCCACTCCTCTGGAGAAGACAGGCGAGCAGACGACAGGTGAGTGGGCGGCGGTCACCAGCCAAGGTCAACACTCCAATCTCCAGGGCAAGACTGGTCAAACCACAGCGAGGTGCTACCCACGCCCCCGGGGCACTTCCTGTGGAGGCAACAGGAAGTCACAAGCACTGCTGAAGGATGGGAGGACCAGAGCCCTTGGCACTGCGGGGAGGACACGAGATGCCACAGAAACTGCGGAAAACTAGATACCATACAGTCCAGCAATTCCACGTCTGGGTGCACATCCAGGAGAACGAATGCCGGCATGGGGAGAGGTATTTGCACACCTTGTTCATAGCATGTGACTCAGAACAGCTAAAAGATGGAAGCAACCCAGACGCCCACGGAAGGGGTCAACAAACCAAATGAACATGTCCATACGATGGAATGTTCTTCAACCTTCAGAAGGAAGGACAGTCCGTCACATGCTATGACCTGGGCCGGCCGTGAGAACATTACACTAAGAAAAATAAGCTAGTCACAGAAACACAAATGCTGAGGGGCTCTAGTCCTATGGGCAGCTAGGACAGAGAGAGCAAGACACTTGCTTTCAGGGTGGGAAGAGGCCGAGGGGTGTACTTTTAGTTCAGCAAGGCAGAAAGCGTTCTGCAGACCGGCTGCACACCAGCATAAACATACAGAGCACTCCAGCTCCATATTTATTTATTTATTTATTGAACATACAGAGCATGCCAGCTCCATATTTATTTATTTATTTATTTATTAAACACACAGAGCACTCCAGCTCCTTATTTATTTATTTATTAAACACACAGAGCACTCCAGCTCCTTATTTATTTATTTATTTATTTATTTATTTAGTCTTTTGGACCTAGGGTCTCACTATGCAGTTCAGGCTGGCCTTGCGCTCACTTTGTAGCCCAGGCTGGTCTTGAACTCACAATGATCGTCCTGCCTCTGCCTCCCGAGTGCAAGGAATACAGGTGTGTGCCACCACGCTTGGCTTAGCTCCATATTTAAAAAGACAGGTAGATGGTAAATGTGGTGTTAAGTAGATTAAACCAAAATTTTGCACTTTTTTTAACTGAGAAAGAGAAAATGACACAGAGGCCTATGCGTTCTGTTCTTCACACAGAGCGGCCAGCAACAAGCACAGCTCAACTCCAAACCCGGCCAGAGGGTTTCCCTGGAGATCCCTACCTGACAGGAGAAGCCAGCTGTGCCGGGAGGACAGACACACTGCTCGATCTGCGACGCTACCTCCCCCACGGGGTGCTGGCCCCCGGCCTCCGAGGCAACTTCCATCGAGATGTTGGAGATTCTGTGTACCACAGTGCGCCAGGGAAAGCGGAAAGGAATCATGAACACTTGAAGCATGTGACAGAAACGCGCCAGGCAACACACATTTGCGTATGTGTTACGCCAGAGATTCCCTCCCAGCTTGGAGCAGCAGCTACTCAAGACCATGAACAAAGCCGGGCATGGTGGTGCACACCTGTAATCCCAGCACTACGGGAGACTGAGGTAGGAGGACTGCAAGTTGTAAGTAACCCAGTCCAGGTTACTTGGCAACTTGCCCAGACTCTGTCACAAAACAAAATATAGAAGGGGTCCGGGGCATGGCTCAGTGTGAAGGCCCTGGGTTCAAGCTGCAGAACCCCCCAAAAAAGATTATAAATAAAGTTAGTTCAGTGAAGTGCATCAGTGATGGCACTTGGCCAACACTTAAGAACTTAAAAATGTTATGGAAATCATACCCGAAAGACTACTCCAGATCTTTCTCTGGCTTGTTGAAGACTTAATAGTTGTCCTTGCGTGGTGAAGTGTTAATTGGGTAGGAGAAACATTCTTTATACGTCATTACAAAGAACTGGGTATGCAGCTTTCAAGTGAAGAAAACAGCATTTTAAAAAATATTGGGCTGGGGTTGTAGCTCAGTGGCACAAGTGCCTGCCTGGCAAGTGCAAGGTCCTGGGTTTGATCCATGGTACCAAAAAAAAATAAAAATAAAAAATCTTCATCTAAGATCCCACCCTGGTGGACTTACATGGTCAGTGGCTAATTTCATATTCACACACTCCATTCCATAATGATATTAATATTTAACCAGGTTGGGATAAGGAGCTGTGGTGCACATATTAGTGAACATGCTCATAACAGCAGTTAAATGCACCAAATTCTCTCAGTTCTGGGTCAAACAAGGAAAACAGAGTTCTAGAAGCTTCTTTACCTGCTCTGCTGTAGGCCTTGGCCGTAGGATGCCTTTATGAGGATGTAATCAATATTGCTGAGAACAGACATGAAATCTGCGCGGGTAACAGGTTCTTCAGAGACAGAATTAAAGTATCTCCAGAAATCCTGTGGATGAGCAACACATTCTGTTACACCCAAAGCACAAATTATCACAGGCATAGGACCTGACAGAGGACATGTTTCTTTCACAATTTTCCCTAGAAATTGCCTGGTTCTGGGTGCGCCGTCGAAGGTAACTGTCAAACACCTCCTGTCAGGGCCCCAGGAGAAGCCACTGACCGAGACAGGTCGGCCACGCAGTACCTGGGGGCTGAGGAGAGGGAACCCTGATGCCAGGGGCACAGCGACTCTGCGGTCCTGTTTCCACAGGGCAAAGCCTTGGGAAAGGATGCAGGACAGGAGTAAATCAGTGGAAACCGACCAGTGACTGACACGGGCCTCAGGCAGAAGTCGCCCCTTACCCGGGGACCCATTCCGAGAGCGCAGTGTGTCTACAGCCTCAGAGAGGAGCACTCCCTGCACACACTGTGCTTCTTCCTGCACTCGCATGCCTACGATGATGCTGAATTGATGAACCGGCCACAATGAGAGACGGACAATAATCATACAATAGAGCAATTACAACATTGTATTAACAACTGCCAGCACCTTAACTTGGGCCATTATTAGGTAAAGCAAGAGAAACCCGGACGGTGCGGGTACTGAGATGCCAGGGAGAGCACCCAGCGCATGCACACCGGAGAGGGGGGGGAGCCAGGGCAGCGTGAGATTTCCTCACGCAGTCTACACCTATGAGCTGTTTGTTTCTGCAATTTTCCATTCATCTAGGGACCTCAGTTGGCCATGGGTATTTGCAACCTAGAAATCAAAACTGCGCGTGAAGAAGGCTATGAGATTCGACAGACTTTGGGAAATGCTGCTGGACCCAAGGAAATGCCATCCGAGGCCTTGCTGCTCGTGCTTTTTTGTAGCTCGGAGCTTCCACTCCATCCACAGCGAAGTCACGCCAGAGCGCCGTGCATGACAGGGTCCCTGCTCACCTCCTTCATGCCCACTTCCTGATGCTGCCACACCCCGTTCTCCGGCGCGGGTGCATCCGTGTAGATCACTTGCTTCCTGGTCCGGCCTCCTTTGATGAGAACTTGCGGCTCCAAGTTGAAGGTCCCAGCTCCGCCAGAGGCATAGAAGGCCACGCTGAACCTCAGCTTGCCACTGTAGGCCAGGAGCTAACAGATAGTAGACACTTGTTTACTTCCCTGGTGTGCTCTGGCTTTAAAACAGGTTATCGTCAGCCTATCAGAGAAATCTTGGATCTTAAAAATACATATCCACAGGCGAAATCTGCGCTCTGGATTTGCTTCCTTCAAACCACTCCCTTGTGAATTATTAAACCAATCAAAGCTGTAGTGCTTGATGATACCAACAATGGTGAGCTCCTATGTAAACCAGTGTAGTAACAATTCTAATTATTTTCAAGCTCCTTTGGAGTAACAATTATCCATCCATAGGAGCACTGGAGGTATATTTGCAAATATTAAAAATCAAGTTCAATTCACACATAGACTGTGATTCTATAGATAAACAGAAATGGAAACTGCACCTTCCGTGGTTCTTTCATAGTAGGGTTTCTCCCTCCTACCCAGCCCGGCCAAAATGAGCTGCCTTCTTGGGACGGGTTTCCCAGGACCTTGTATCTAGCCCTGTATCGAGTGTATACTTAAAAAAGCAATATATGTTTGTTGAATGACTGCTTTAAAAAGGAAGAAAATAATATGATTTAAACTTTCAAAGATTTAAAACAATGATGAAAAGATTTATAGCTCCAGAATTTGAGGGGAATTTTACGTGTTAAACATCGCCTTCCCCACCTAGAAGAGGGATTTAGTAACTTTGCATGCTAAGGGCCGGCCAGCACAGAACACCGAGGTTTTAAGCTAACATCGCCATCCTGGAGGAAGGCAGCCCCGTGTGCCCTCACCTGGTCTCCCTGGAACTGCTCCGGGAGCCGCCAGTAGAACGGCTCTGTGTGGATGTGCTGCCGGATGGTTGTGGCGTCCAGCAGGATGTCGGGGGCCTGGTGATACACACCCTCGGTCGTGCCGGTCACATTGCTCTGGGAAACCACGCGTAGGAGGGGCTGATGGGCGCCCAGGGTCACCTGGTCGTGGGGAAGACACACTTGAAACCTGGAGTTAAGCACCCGAGTCTGCTCGCCAGACTCCAACAGCGTTTCCCACACCAGCAGCTCTGTGATCAACACAGGCATAGTGAGGCTTCTCCTGAGAGTAAACAGCTGGGTTCAAATGAATGACAAGGGTCTCACACGACTGCATTTAAGGTCAGGGCTTTGGGGTACTGGGGCAAAACTTAGAACCAGAGATGGCTAGGGTGCTGTGGCTTTAGCTTGTCCCCACCCAGCCTCACAGACAGGCTGGTATGGGGCAAAGCTGAAGCTGCCTTGGTCCCCGCTGCAGTGGTTTCCCTGGAGAGCAGAGGCCCAGCTCCGCTTCCTGTAGGGAACCACTCTGAGGCCGTAAGGCAGCAGGGATGGACATGCTATGAGCAAAAAACACGGTGGATGTTTACTTTAAAAATGTACAATGGAAGACACATTATCAGGAATCCTCCTCAAACAACTCCCCGTCACTTTGCACACCCTCATCCCATGTCCCAGCCACTTTCCACAGCAGCTCTGCAGTCCTCTTTCCCGAGAGTCTAGCTGTGCTGTCCTGACTGCCTCAGTGTCCTGAATGGATTCAGAACGCTCCCCTTTCAGTCATTTTGACTTTGGGGAAGGGCCAGAAGTCACACGGTGCCAGATCCAGTGAATAAGGTGGATGAGGATTTGACAGAAGCTGTCGTAAACATTTGATCAATGGTGTTTGATGTTTAAATAAAACATGTGCTGGGGCTGGGGATTTAGCTCAGCGGCAAAAGCGCCTGCCTGGCAAGCGCAAGGTCGTGAGTTCGGTTCCCGGTACCGGAGAAAAACAAACAAACAAACAAACAAAAAATAAAAATAAAATAAATAAATAAATAAATAAATAAATAAATAAATAAATCATGTGTTACAGTAAAAAGACAAGTTGCCATTAGCCCCCTCAGGACACCCCCAGCACTTTGAACACACCGTATTGTTCCCAGCAATGTGTCTTTCATTGTGATAAGATTTTTAAACAATTTAAACATTAACTGTATTTTCCCATCACCCCTTCTAAGTACTCGGCATCTCCCCTCCCTGACCCAGTTCCCAGGGTGCCAGGGTTAAAATGCCTGACCCTTGTGCATGACTTACTGGGGTTCGCACGTAACCCTCCAGCTCCATGCAGATGTGCGACAGCCCAAAGCAGAAGCAGGGGGTGCAGCCCTGGGGGTCATCAGCATGCAGGGCGAAGGTGCCGACACGACACTCGCTGCACTGGAGGCCGATGACATTTTCCTGTGGGGAGTGAGGAATGGCTCATTAGGGGCCCGAAAAGACAGATGCGCTTTCTGTGTACAGAGAAGAGGTGGAACACAAACACCATCTGAGACCCCCAGACATCGGAGGTGAGGCCCCCTCGACCAACAGTGTTCTTGCAAAGACTCGGGCAGGGACTCCAAGTACGGTGCATGATCAGGATCATTCTAGGAGCTTTGGGAAATATAGATTCCCTTATGTTTTCTGAAGACAGTCTCCTGGGATGCCGGGAGATCTGCCTGGAGTCCTCCAGTGATTCCTCTGTGTGTGTGTGTGTGTGTGTGTGTGTGTGTGTGTGTGTGTGTGTGTTTGTGTGCATGGTTGTTGCCAGGGATGGAACCTGAGGCCTCACATACATGAAGCAAGCATTCTCCCACTGAGCTGTACCCCCAGCTATTTTGTTTTATTTTTAAAATTTATTTTATGACAGTTGTTGCTAAGTTGCCCGGGCTGGCCTTCAACTTGCAATCCTCCTGCCTCAGCCTCCAACTGCCTGGGATGACAGTGTGCACCAGTGGACCTGGCCCTCAGGTGATTCTGACCTTCTTTCAGCAGGGAGAGGTGATTACTAAGGCAGCACTGATCCTCTGAGACCACAACCGTTCATTGAGATGCAGCAAGAAAAACATGGGAAGGATGTCCCAAGACTCCCAGGCCCTAGAATCTCCGGGGCCTCCCCCTGCATCCCCCAGCCAAACGTCAACCCCAACCCACAAGCCTCCCTGCACAAAGGCCCAGAGAAGGTGGCCATGCCCTCCTGGTACCAAAGCCCTTCAGGAAAACCAGTGGATGCTCGTGAGATTAAGACGATGCCGGACTCTCACCTCCCAGAAAATCACACACAGCTCTTTCCCCTGCCCAGACAGGTGGGAGCATCGCTGCCTCCTGGCTCCGCAGTCACAGCCACCTCCAGCCCTGTGCTCTGTGTCCCTCAGTCGGGCTCTGGCCCAGGGGAGTGCACTGCGGAGCTCAGCATTTCCAGCAGTGCTGACAGCGAGGCTTGTAACAAAAGCTGGAGATTCCCCGCAGGGGTCGCTGCGGCACACGCAGAGTGAGGAGCGCGAGGCCGTAAGATCAGAGCGTTCACCCGGCTGTGCATGCAACAGCAGGAGCCCAGAGAGAGGGACAGAGGCAGACGGTGCGGGGAGCGGGTACCTTGCAGGAGCAGGCGCCGGATTCCTCCGCGCAGCTGCAGACACGCGGGTCCGGGCCGCAGGTGGAGGCCACCGCCCCCCTCGGGTCACAGGCACAGGGGGCACACTCCGGAAAGCCCCGGTATCCCGGGGAGCACCGGTCACAGCGCTGCCCGCCGAACGCGGCCTTGCAGGGGCACTGGCCAGACAGCAGGTCGCACTGAGAGCCCGAGGAGCCCTCGCGGCTGCAGCTGCAGGCCTGCGAGGGGAGGGAGAGAGCAGGGGCTGCGGATGCCGCCGCGCACGCGGGAGTCTCCGACAGCGGGTTGACGGGACCGAGCCCGTCCGTCCAGAGCACCTGCCCCGCCACCGCGGTTGTGAACACAGAGCCCAGACACGCTGGGCCAAAGCCAGGAGCCAAATGAAACACAGCCGGTCTGAACAGCCTAGAAAAATTACTGCAGGGGGCACGTAAACCTTCCATTGCTTCCAACACAAACCGCACCCAACCCAGTCTAACAAAGTTACCAAAAACCGGACGTCGCCCAGATTGGACGCAAGCCCCCAGTGAAATGGGGACAACTTCTCTTGGAAAATAGTCCATGTTGCAGGTATTCAGAGGCTTCTGCTATGGTGTATGTCCAGATGCCCGCCCTAAAACCTCCGGTGCTCGTGGGGGGCTTTCGGAAGGTGAGTGGGTGGGGCTCAGAGCTGACTTGCTGTAGGAGGCGGGGTCGGCCGGAAGGGGCTGCCACTGGGGAAGGGTGCGCCCGTCTCCCGGCTCCCCTGGGTCTCTCTGCCTCCTGTCCCCACGGCCTGAGCAGCTCTCTCTGCCAGCCCTCTCTGCCTTGGCGCCAGCTGGTGGACTGAAAGGTCCACCCACCGTGAGCCCAGACAAAGGATAAACCTCTCCCCTTTGAAGTTGCTGGGGTCAGGTATTCCGTCCCAGCAAGGAGAAGGAGTTTATTTACTGACCGATGGGTCGATTGATTGGTGATTGACTGAGACGAGGTCCCACTGTTACCCACACTGGTCTTGAGCTCCCGCCTCAGCCTCCCACGGAGCTGGGCCTACAGGAGAGTGCCGCTGTGCCCGCTGTACCGTGCTGTGGACGCAGCTGCGAAGCTCTCCCACAAGCTAAGCACAGCAACTGGACAGGGAAGCGGGGCCGAGCAGCGGGAGCTCCGGGCGAGAGGACGTGTGAGGCGCACCCACCTGGCACCCTCGCTCCGCGCCCCAGCCCCAGTGCTCCGCCTCGCACTCCTCGCACTTCGGGCCCCGCGTGTGAGGGGCGCAGATGCACTCTCCGGACTCGGGGTCGCAGCTGTTCTGAGTGTGGGCACAGCTGCAGGCTGGAACAGAGAGGGGTCCTCACAGGTGGGGTGTATGGCATCGCCGGGTGGCAGCACAGCTGCAGACAACCCAGACCGGGCCCTGCACCCTGAAGACTTCTCGCCACCCCGGGGCCCTTCTGGAAGGGAGGGAGCTGGGCCAGCGTGGGGACCTGGAGAGCAGACCTGATGGGGGAGGACACCCGGCCCCCCCCACGTCCCTGAGCATAACGACCTGCTGTCATTTCACAGACGAAACGAGAGCTAAGTGAAGGTAAGAGACAACCTCAGCTCACACGAGCAGGGGCTCAGGGCTGGGACCAGCGCTTACACCTGTGCCCAACGGCCACCGGAGAGAGGAGGTCCCAAGGGTGAAGAAAGGAGGTCCCCGAGGCTGGGCCAGGCCAAGGGAGGCCCCGGGGAGCCTGGGACAAGGAGCCGGTGAGGACGCGGGCTTACGTGTGCAGCCACCATCCTGGTACGCGTAGAAGCCGTGCGAACAGCGGTCGCACCTTCTCCCGGCGACGCCCGGCACACAGTGACACTGGCCTTGGTCCGTGCACTCGCCCGAGGTGGAGCCTGCCGCACTGCAGTTGCAGGCCAGGCAGCCGAGCCCAGAGTCCAGCCCGTAGTAGCCGGGCTGCAGCACGAGAGGGGAAGTGTCCCGTGAGCCGGGAAGTGAGCACGGGAGCAAGGACATCTCCCAGATGACACGAGGGTCACCCCTTAGAGCCTCCAGGGTTCGTGGTACCTCCAGGCCTCTGAAAGTGGAACTTGGGAGGCCACGCCCAGGGAGGACGTGTTTTCTCAGTTACGAGTTCAGTGACAGCAATCAAGTGGCACGCAGGGGGCAGGGAGCTTCTTACCAGGCACTGGTCACACCGCTGTCCCGTCACGTGTGGTCTGCAGTCGCAGCGTCCGCTCTCAGGATGACACACACCGGAGAGGGAGCCGGTCTCGTGGCAGCCGCAGGCTAGTGCACACACAAAGGACACGCTCACGGTCACGCGGGGCCAAGGACGGCAAGGTCGTTTCACGCCCAACAGCATCACCACAAGCACAAATATACAGAGAGAGGGAGGGAAAGACAGAGGCTGCCCAAAAAATGTGAGTATTTCAGAAAAAGAAAAATAGTACGATGTTTTCTCAATAGATGGTGTTATCCTTATATGGGGGGCCCTAGGGCATGCCATGTACTGCAGAAAACTCACTACACCGCCGGCCCTCGAGAAAAACTTGAAAATGCACAAGCAGCGATCTCACTGACTGCAGTTCCCGAACTTTGAGCACCCCTTGCAATTGTAGAGGTCAGAGGCAACTTGTATTAA